GGCTGAATTTAATTAATTAATTATGTCAAAGGCATGCAAACTTTTTTACAATATAACCGATGAAGTAACGTGTGTAAAGAGCTAGAGAAGACGACTGATAATTCGATGCTTTTGAGAGGGCTAAAACCTATAGCTTTATATTAGGCTCAGTGCCTGTGGTACGCAATGAGACGGTTCTATGACACCTTTCACTATTAAACACTCTATTGTAATGTTAAGTTTGATTAAAAATGGCATGTTCTAGGTTGAACTGCTCAGACATAGGGAATTAAATTTCTCTGCCCATGTCAACAAAGAATTCCTCTTTGTATCGTAAATAGCAGACGTTAGGTTACGTTATCTACATACTCAGTGTAGACCCATTTGTTACAATGTCAAATTGTTTTCTTCCGAGCGAGCGTATGCTTCATTCCGACAACGGTTTGGTCAAGTAAGATATGGAAATCTATTTGTGTCTTCACTAAAAATATTTTACTTGTATATAAAATATATATAGCCTATATATCTAAAGGCAGTAATAGGCTATTTCTAAACAGCAGCTAAATAATTATCCAGCTGCTTATTCCATGTTCATTAATTATGTGCTGTTTTTCTCTGCGAAATACTATCGTAACCGTTTTCTTTTGCCTTCTGCTGTTTACGTTATTAAGAAGAACGGTTAAAGAAAGCTTAAGCGGCCTTTCTCTTGTTAAAGACAGAACCGGTCCTGTCTAGTTTGCTAGTCTGTGACGCCGTCACTATTATCATGGGATTAGGTCCTAGTGAGCCACAAATGCACCAACACCGCCTACATCTCTCCATATCTACAACGCTCGAGTAGGCGAACGGCAGCCGAAAACTCGACCGGCCAAATTTCCTGCAACTGATAAGCCGCCTCAGTCATAAGGGGCTATTGTAGCCATTGGCAACAGGTAGGCGACAGCCGCTGCTGTCGGTGGTAACAACAGCGAGAGCGACTATAGCTACAGCCAACAAAACATTGTCAAGTTTTTTTTTAACTTAGCTCAACGACGGCTCGCCAGCAGCTCTATTGCTTTTAGCCCTTTCATTAAATGTGGCACGTTGAGTTCGCGCCGTCCAATTTTCCATTTCAACCCAACGCTACCCGGCGTGACGAACAGTTCACGAACAAGCTTTCTTTTTGGCGACTTGTCCGCAATCTGTCGTTTCCATCGCTCATCCTCGGCTTCATATTTATCAGATTCCTATAGATCGCTCGTCATATGCCGCTGTGGCAGGCAAATAAGCCCATGTCACTGTAGGCTAGCGGTATTGGCTAACGTTGCCGTTGCTGAAGGTTACCGCTAAGCAGGCTAATGCAACAGACAATGAGCCGGTACCCAGCTAGGAGTGAGGAAGGAAGGCTAAAAAGATAGTGGGTAGACGACGCTTGCTAATTGTGACGCGGCTGTAGATGAAATGTTGGCATTTTCGAAGCAGCTTGTGCAGGTTGCAGGGCCCTTGTCGGGCCTCGATATTCCTTGCTATCAGTACAGGTAAGAGAAAAGGAACAGCCGAGAAGGAAGCAGGAATCTAGGCTCGCAGGACATCATGTCATAAAAGATAATTGCTCTCTGCGTTGGATACGTGCTTACAACAGAACAGCAGCGTCAAGCAAACCGACCATTCCACTGAGGCCGGTTATTCTCCGTTCCAAGCGTCCGTCGGCCGCTGGTTCCGCCCGCTGTCATCATTCGTCATACATCGCATCCCCTCCTGCTGTTACAGCGTGCGAATCGCTAGCGTAGCTATCAGGATTGGTTCGCCAAAATACACATTATCTTCAGCCAATCAGACAACGTTGATAATGCCAGGCTATCCCGGACCGAATCCGTAGGTCAGGATCACATGCGTCGTACATTAGCGGACCATCGCATGAACAAAGCGACAAACAACGACCGAAACGCCTAGGATGAAGAGGAGAACACGGAGGTCAAGAGTCTGTAGAGGACGCAGGAAAAGGCGAATGGAGGGGTTCTGGCAACCTGAAAACAAACGATTGAATGAGGCGGCAACAGGGGAAGGAACCCCTGCTGGCGTGTAGGGCAGGTGATCCCGGGAGACGTGGTAAAATAGGTAGATTTGGGTAATACGTAAATAGGTTAGGAGCAACTAGAATGTGGGTGGCGTTGGTGATGTCGTCAGTCGACGTGTTGGCCAAGCAACGATAACTATCCACAAACGAAAAACGCGGAGACGGACGGTCATGCAGAGTTTCCTGTGCCGCGTAACAGAGTAGTGTCCCTAACAGGTATTCCATGCTCAATAGAAAAGGAGACAAATTCGTAAGTCCTATTTCCAGTACACAATTATACTAAGGAATCGAACACATAAACGAAGATTGAAAGGTAGCTAATGTTCCCTGAACATAGAAATATAATAGTAAGATAATCAATTGAAGCTACCGAACTACGATTTCTATGATTCTAAAACGCACATGATAACACCTAGACGCACGAAGACAGGTTTACGTCAGTGGAACAATTAAAACTAATACGTCGAAGAGCAGTAGATACTCCTGAAACGTTTCTGGTATGGTTTCGGTTAAAAAACGAAAAGGAGAAAAATTGTTGGACTTCATTCGCTAAGTTATGAGGCATCGTCAGTGAAATGTACCTTCGACTAAAGGTGTGAAAGCTTAAGGTTTCGGGAAAATACTAACTATCGCAACGTTTCTTTATGCCAGATAGTGTGCCTCATGACTGAAATAGGCCAGGAACTAGTTACGTTAATACAATTATTTCACAAGCCTAGTTTGGACTGGGTAAATGCTTCAAGTATAAGTCACTGTCTGTCCATTTTCCGTAAATTGAAATTGTTACTGTTTCATAATTATAGAGCTTTTATTTATTTAGAACACGAATGGCTCGTACACGCTTTTTACTATTATGTCACTTAAAATGGACCATATGGTTCGCAACGAAAAATGTAAACGGTCGCACCATCAGCCGACTTAAGGATTAAAAAAAATATGTGTTATCAATATTGTAATCTAGTATATTAAAATTTCCACAAGTTCCCTTTGCATCATTATATAATACATAGATTGGTGATAACCTCTACCCCCTCCGTCCATGTGTTATAATCACTGCATACTAGTCCTAGAAACCCAGATGACTCGTTAACCGATTGATACAACATGACAGCGATCCTGTATTTTGCGTATATACATATATAGTCTATATATATATATATATATATATTAGTTTTCCTATTCACAGTTGTCATCGGTATATGCAATTGTTGTCCTTGTTGCTGTTGTTGTCGTCGTGCATCAAAAGGAAGCCGGATGCCAAGTTGAGATGTCCACTGTTGTGATACGGTGGGATTCAACTATTTCAGCCTAAGGCCCTTAAAGGTAATGCCATTTGTTTTCGAGTAATTGTATGGGTACGTTTCTGTACATGACTCTGTGCACCTGTACAGTAAACATCGTGATGACGCGGCAACACCTTTCTATAGACAGGTGACCAGCGTAAAAACAGTATTAGGTACACACGACCGAATTACGGTCATAGTCAATAAATAGACCAACGCTTCGATTCCAGCCGAGTTGGTGTGTAACATTAACTCACCCCATCTGATCTTGATCAATTGGATTTTTGAGCTTTTCGATAAAATTTTATCGAATAAGAATACAGAGAAATGACGAAAGGAACTTGAACGACAGCCTAGCGTTTAGGCTCACTTTATTGTTTTTTTTTTTGTTCTAATTGCTCCCGACGCCCGAAGTAGGCCAAATGAAGAAAAGACGACGCTGTCCCGACTCGAATACGCTGCTTAACTTGTCGTTTTTTCTCTGATAAACGGTGCGCTATATATAGCTGGTGTAGGCATCAATTGAGTACGATAAAACCGTCCGATTTTTAATTTAACCAGATAATTTTTGACGGCAGCAATAGAATCCCATTGTAGCCATTGAGCCGTTCAAATCGACGTAACCGCACGACTGTTGTTTCTACGCTATGTTTCATTAAAGATGTCATATTATCTAAGCCATCCAGACCAGTCGAAGTGATCACCACTATGCGGTCTACAGCCTACAGTACCCTGCGGCAGCTCACTAATCTAAAGATTTGTTGCCATAGACGTGTATATATATGTATATATAATACTGTAAAAAAATATATAATAAACTTCTAAAAAAACAAGTTATAAAATTCATATAAATCGTTGAAACATTTTTTCTTTGAAGGACACGTAACGGTTAAAATCTCAACGTAAGCGCACTTAATTTATATTGGGATTAGATGAAATGCTTGACAGCGGTCTCGCATGCAAAACTCGAAAGATAATTTCAGCCACTGTCTACCCGCGTTTTTTGCGGATCCGAAAATAGGCCTGTGTATAATAATAATAACGTTGCTATAACAAGTTATCAAATAGATAAAGTTTATAAATATGGAACGTTCATGGCAATGGGAGAAGTGTTATACATCAAGTTGATAGAATTTCGAATGAGAATTTTCCGGCAATAATTAATTGCAGCTAATTAACCTAATTTCCACAGCTAAACCACTGAAACAGTACGTTTGTCTAACTATTCTATTACTACATTCTCTTCTTATATAATATATAGTAATGATCGCGACATTTCTAGACAGACGAATGCACACCGGTTATAAACAAATAGATATCTGTCGATCAATTGTATTATCAAAGCGGCGCTATGGTATCAAACGGGGTCTTTGCGGGTCGTGAGCACAGGTAAACCCTGTATCTATCTTACATTCACATACGACACCATCCTGTTTTTAACATTTGCAATAGCAACTTGTGTCTCGTAGCGTAGTATGAAAGAAAGGTGTGATGATACATATATGTGTTGACTGTAGAACGATACGAGAACCAGCCCGGTGGTCGATAAACGGTACGCATTGGGACGTCTCCGTTGTCACCTGTGCGATGATGCGGTCCAATCAAAAAGTTTTAATGCGAATGTGTCGGTGCTCCTCCGAGAGGGGGTCTGCTTCTCCGGAGCAGGGAGCTGAAGCGAGACTGGGCAAATTCTATCAGCTACGTCCACAGCGCCATGGGCAGAAGATGCTCCTTGGTTCCGGGGGCAGGTGTGAGTGACTGGTTCACTAAGAACTTTTCTGGTAGTTCAACAAGGTGTCCCGCGATTTTTTTGAGCTCTTCGATTGCCGCTTTTGGGTCCTGCAAAACAGAGATGCGGAAATGTTATCGAACATATCATCTACTACAAAATCCCTGCCATATCGGTGTAGATTCCACCATAACATGCGAACTAGAAAGGGAGTACAGTTCCTATGAAACGTCGTGCGTCGGAGCGCAAACGTGGATTTGCGTTTGGTCCTATCTAGATGAGGTCCTTCAGAGGTATGCTTTGCTTTACTACACTTCTGGCTGTAATAGTTAACGAAAACTGCGACACCTTTTTAACAAGGGAGGGCTGGTTCAGATAGTTCCTAAGCTCGGCAAATGTCGCGACACTGTCTGTGGGTAGCGGACGAAACACGTGCTCGAATATCCGCGTATTATTTTTCGCGATTCGCTTCCAGGTATTATTGAAGAAGTCGTCCGATACTGGGTCATCGACTTTAGTAAAGCCGCCAAGGTGTTCACGAAAAATCCATTGACGCAGGGACGTGGCGTACGCTCCGACCTTCACTGGTTGGCCATCAAACGATGCTGAATAGAAGTGTTGATCTCGAAGAAGGGCAGCTATCTCTGAGTCGCGAGTGCCCAGTAACGAACGATCATTTATATTAGCCGAACCCATAATCACCTAGAGATTGTTACCATTGATTTATTGCACAGCTAATTGACGACCAGTTAAAGACCCAAAGCCCGGTGACGATCTATTTTTCGGTGATATATCGATGAAAATCTTCCCTTTACTAGTAAGAGCGTCATCAGTTTAATAATAATAATAAGAGCAAACATGCCAAACTCAAATAAGATAAAAATTCCTATGAATTAGGTGGATAATAAATGGCTTTTGGTAAATTTCAAGCGTACCTGACTATCGTCGACGATCATTAGCTTTGAATGGACGTAAACGAGTTCGGTTACGGGAATTCCATTGAGAATATCATGTTTTCGTAGACCGAAAAATGCCACGTAATCTCGAGGATTTTCCACTAAAAATGGTAGCCAGACCACTCATGTATTAAAAATACTATGTAACCTTTGCAGCTGTTCTCATCGAAATATTATTCGTTATCTATTGGAATATTATAGAACCTATGTGAACGTCTAAGGCAGGATTACCTGATTACTGGAAGTACTGCACAGAAACCATGATGAACCTACTTTTCTGCTCTAGTCTAGCGAGTAGTGAGTTGGGTCCTCGACACAACGAGGCATAGTTCCAATGTGTAATCGCTTGAATGGATGCTCCGCTGGGGGTACCCACTTCCCCTTCGAAAGCCGGCAGGAGTGGCAGAACGATATAGACACGAAATTTTTCATTAGCGCTGTCGAAAAAACGTTTGCTTTATTTTCGGAACTGTAGATCTCTCAAACAATTGTCAGGTCCTCGGCAAAAAAAAAAAAAGTGTCACACTTCACGAAGCACAATAATAATAGTATGATTACAGTTAGCGACAGGTAGAAAGATACCTCTTATTCACATAATTATCTAATTTACGTCATATACACATGCATCATTAATTGTTTCGCGCAATAGATCCCGTATTATTAACACGTCAAGTACGTAATAGCAAAGAACTATACGTTATGTCACATGAAACGTTTTTCTCAATGGGCTATGCTCCTAACTCACCAGTATGCTTTGAGTATTCGCTCATACAAGGTATCAGCGACTCGATTGTACACCATACCTCCTGGTTTCATCGAAATGAAGAACTGGTTTTCGATGTAAATGTAATACTTGGCATTTTTGATTAGCTCGACATAAGCATCCTCAATCGAGTGCTCACGCTCGCGGATACCCACGGACCAGCTGCTCGCAGACCTTAGCGCTTGCACTTCACAGCGATAAAGTTTTCCAAACCACTCTTCGCACTTGCCCACCTGGCAAAATGAGTCATATTAGAGCAAAAACAAGTTCCATTAAACCTGAGGCGATTATTGCCATCACTTTATTTCACCTTAACTTGAACTTAAGGAACGTTGATTTTCATACACTTGAACCTTGACAGGAAACTTCTACCGGAAATTAAACTGATTGTTGATTACTTTGTATTGCGTAAAATTGCTTAAAAAAAGACGGTAAGAATGTCATCTATGTCCAAAAATACGATCCACTATGTTTCTATATAAATATGCATAATTTAATATTCGGTCCATGGGTAGCTTACGTCGAACTCCTCAGCGACATCATAGCTCATTGGTAAAAGCCATGGGTAGAAATCGTTGCGTTTCGCCTTATTGTTTTTGACGAAGTTCCACCGTTGAATGAAGTGACGGGCTAAATCACGGGCAGCTCTTCCAATGACGAGGCCCCCAATATCATGCCAGGGCATTCGAGGAGTCCGCGTACGATCGATATGCTCTAAATGAGAGAAATCGTATCAAAATTTGAGCGTACCGCTTCCACATGAGAGGTCATGAGGTCTTTTTCTTTAGAAGGCAAAAGACAGTAGTTATTATCATCCCGAATAGATGTCCTCAGCCCTAGTCTATTTCTGATTCAATAGGATTATGGGAAGCACGTTCGTGCACTATGGCCATTATTGTGCACATAGGGGTTTTACGTTTAGGATATTTCTCCTCTCTGTCCGGCACTTCTCATGAATCATATAGGTTATTGTAAATGACCCATATCGCGTTTCAGGTGCTAGGCCCTTGGCGGAAGTTCTAGTGAGAAAATGTTTCAGCCGTTGCAAACCAAATTAAATTCTTTCAAGATGTCATTTTTCGCTCACCAGCAAACGGCTGATGCATATTAGTAACGTCCTTAAATATGAAATTTGTATAGTCTTTTCCTAGCCAAAAGCGAGCGTCTTCGTTAACGAACGATGCGAGCTTCTCTTCGTCCGGTCTGCAACAAGGAATTTACATTTAAATAAAAAATTATATTTTAGCGTCATTTTAACGGTGCATGCGGGTTTATTGAAGTCAAACATTATATAGCTGATGTTTAAAGTAGCTAAATTAGCCTTTATCCGAAAAAATCAGGTAAATAATGTAAGGCTACCTCTGTCACATATGAGAAACTTTATAGTTAGATATACTTTGATTTTTCTTTGGCAGCTCCGTTTACCAATATTCCACATCATTTGGGGGCTTACATATATAAGCTATGTGTTTCTGTTCAGACGCTACGGCTTTACCCGACTGAAGAGTCGGCTAAAGCCGTAGCGTGCTAAAGATTACACCTACATGAATTCAGTGTTCGTATGACTGACACAGTCAACCAGGTCACCTAACGATCGTCGGTAAGTTTCTCGGCGGACATTTTGAAACACCTGCAGAAGAAATACAAACACATTTTCTGTACGCCCACATGTGCTGTTTTAGTCACTGCATCAAGAGCATAACGTTTCGCGGACGCGACGTAATTACGCAAGTTGAAGTAAACTTCCAAGGACTATACCACACTGCGCGAGCAGACGCTGTAGCGACTTGGCAGTCTTTGAACTTAATATTGATGTAAAGGCATCGAAATCAAATACGATTTACTACTGACAACTTACAATTAAAGCGCTTAGTCGACGTTTGGCTTGAAGTAACTTCATTCTTCCATTTGTCAGATGGTCTCCTGCGTCCGGATTGATAATTTTCCATGTTTCTTGGTCAAAGTAAATTGACGGTCTTATCTGAGTGTTGTCATACTTAGCAGTCTGATCACTTTGCCGTTTCTGCAGAGATCTATTTGTGACTGCAGTGGAGAATAAAGAAGGCTCGTCGATTTGATCTTCGTAACAAGGAGGCGGTTCTGCCAAAGATGGTCAAAGTTTTCAATTGATTTATAAGTAATCTTCAATAATGAATCGAACGCCTAAACCGGCTATCGAATACACGATTAAGTTCGATTGTAAGTAAGTACGAACCATCATTCACTGCTGAATGCTTTACATTGCCTTGATCTTCACTCGACTGAGAACGTGTTTCTGGAAGTGTCCTGGTGATCTTAAAAGTTTCAGTTGGTGCTGTATCAGTCAGTCTGTGAAGAGCATCATCCCATCGACCGTAGCAGAGGTCAATCCCACCAAAAAAGGCGAACTTTTGATCGACGATTACTAACTTCTCATGATGCGCCCACAGTAAAACACCTACAAAGTCGAGTTTTTTTAGCGGGTAAATTGCTTCGAGTGCGCCATGCAGATAGAACAAAAGAAAGTATAATGTTTAAGTTAACCCTACTATTTAATGTTCGAGTTCACACTCAAATAAAAATTATTCGATCGATTTACATACGCGGAACATACAGTGGTTAACTAGGAACAGTTTAATTCGTGCACCCTTCGTGCATAGCAAGCATCTAACATGTCTCAGGCAGCATGGAAAAACCACAGTATTGATATTTTCATGACTGTTTGTTAAGAAAAATGTGGCAAAGCATAAAATTTACGTACCTTCCTTCATATGATCCGGATGCCTGAAAACGCGAATGTTTTTGTGCAGTCCTGTAATTTTCCGCTTTGAGTAGAAGGAGTTGATGTTAAGCGCAGACTTCACCTCCTTGTACAGCATGATAAAAACGTGTACTCCTGACTCCTGCAAAATAATCATAACTATCAATGAAAGCTTGTATTCATATTACTGAGTAGAAAGTTAAGTTCATCAAGACGTTCTCAAAGCTACATGTTTCGGTTTATCGTATATTTAGTATTTATTAATAGTGATGGGTGAGATATATAAATGATAGACTAGTCAATTCTGTTGCTGTGTGTACGTCTGCTAGAGTACTTGAACTATTTTTTTTCTGGGCCTAATTTGGAAAATTTCGCCTTTGTGATTTCTGCGATAGCAACAGGAACGGTTGATATTGAACTGGCCCTAGGGCCTTGCAAAGGAAAACCTAAATGCGTTTATGGTTGTTTCTTTTGCCCAACTTTTGGAATTTTCCGAAAAATACTGACAAATTGTCGAACAAAAAGAAACAAGTAGGCCTAGAGTTTTTTTTTTGTGAGAAAAGCGCTATTTTGTCCTATAGTTGCCTTTGCTTGGCGAACTTTTGAATTTTATTTTTATTATACAACAATAATTTCTCCTAGATATATTGTCAGATTTTCGGGGCTTACGTACAGCTTTTCTTTTGAGTATCTCGTCTAAACGCCAATAAGGAGAGTCTCCTGGTGGTCGCTTCAGATAGATCTCCGGCGTGAGCCACCAGTCCGTAATGAAGATCTCCGTCTCGGCATTTTCAAGGGCATTTGCGACGGCCTTCATGTACATTGCCCCGTCGACATACCTAATTAGGTCATAAAAATAAAAGCGAAGCTACGCTCAGCCGGCACGCCATGTGAAATCTTTACAACGGAATTTATATAAAATTACGTTTCGCGTTTCGACAGATTCTAAACGAGGAGAAGACATAAGGCGCGTTGAACAATGAGCGACGTTCTAACTCCTACGAACTGTCTATCCGAGACGCTTACCATCTCGTGTACGTTTGCTTCCTAACGGGTGCAAAGCTATTCAACGCGTTTCGCTCAACGAAGCCTTTTGCTGTGGTCTCCTTCATTCGATGGATGTGATCAGACCACTCACGTTTTTCTCGTCTGGTCCAAACGTCAATGCAGAGCGATCGCTGACTATTGGTCATTTGTAATCCGCTTAACAGACCGCTCTCCAAAGTGAAGTCTTTGTCCATTAGTAGAACAGCCTTAAAGGAGCGACGATAAATTATCGCAGAGTTCATCCGCAAAGTACCTAACGCTAGCTATACCTAAAGAGATTGATAGACGTGATAGTTAAATGCAGAGAGAGAATTTCGAAGCAGAACGTATAAATAATTTTCGACCGACATTACCGCCACATAACGTGGAATCATCTCTACGCCCAGGCAGTCTACGTTGAACCCTTCGTTGTATTTTTTTTCTAGCAACGTTTGGATGCTCTGACCTGCTTCTAATTCCGTTCTAGCTAGACAGTACAAGTACGCTTTGGAAATAGTTCATCGTCTAGGTCGCTTTGTAAATTGTCGTTTGTAGCTAGAAACCGAAATGAATTATAATCAACATATATTTTTTTCTAAAATTTTTCTTTCGATTTTTGAACCTACACGCCTAGACGCCTTTAAGAATGCTAGACTCATGCATGATGCCTATTCTTGTCGATGGAGTTCAGGGGCGCTGGTTCGATCTGTAATGTAAATTTCGAATAGCTATCGCGCCAAGATCGTTTGGCAATATCGGGAAATTTGTTTCTGGATTGTTTATAAATACAGATCTATATATTTAGTGCGTTGATGTACTTACCCGTATTGCGCCTGTGACCGGATGCAGCGACAGGACATAAGTATCCCTTGCAATTAGCCACCTCCTTCGCCATCGGGTCATGCAGTTGAACCATAGCATGTGAAAATGGAGCAGACACGAGTGTGGCTTGTGACCACCGGCACGTTTCGACACTAGAGATTCCTTGCCTTTTGCCCCAGTCGATTTGAGAAAAGAATACGGCGAAATCTCCAAAAATTCCACCTGATAAAATTAGCCACACGCAAGTATCATACAAACGTTTATCATATAAAGAGCACCAATTCAAGGTAAGCTGTCCCACAATTGAACGACAGTATAACTTGAACGGAAGCTATCCTTTAAATTGATATCTAATCTCGTATGTACAATTATATACACTCTATTGTACTCCATGTTAACATTTACTGATCTGGCTAGCGAAGCCAGCCAGTTTCTATATGGCATTCTATTCTGGGATAAATACTATGGTGTATATATATGCTTAGTAAGACCTGCTGGACTCACCGTCTTTGGATGATTTCTGTAGGCTGGGATAGATAGAAGACCCCGGAGGTATGTAGCAAGCTCTTTGTGCCTTTTCGATACCTGATCTGCTGCCAGCATTGTATCAGGGATCTTTGATATCCGGGGCAAAAGCCTCTTGTTCGCCGTTCCTTCGACGAAACTTCGCCGACGGCGTTGATGACTGCCGAGAAAGAGATTTTTCCATAGAAGCAGATTTTAGTTGTTGTACAATATGTAGGCAGTAATAACACGCTCGGGCGACATCGGCCGCAAACTTCTAGCCAATTTCAAGTGGCAATTTTCCATATATCATAACAATCACAGAGATAAAATAATCATACTTATATTCCAATAAATCTATGAATTTCGAGATGGATTATGTTCGGACTGCCTATCAAAACCGGCATAGAGAAACGTGCGTGAAGATTACAGAGGTAAAACGGCGAAGTGGTAAAGGATACGTTTAGCTGCTTCCAAGTAGTGCCACAGGTGTGTGAACAATTATTATAGGTCAAACGCAGCCTGCGGAAAGATTACGCATTTTGACCCCGACAAAAATCAGCGGCAATGGGCTTACTTACAGGCTGTACAGATAAGCTGAAGCAAAGCTTGTAATATCAAATGAAAGTCACGCACCTTCGCGAAGGAAGAGGCACGGCCATCGTGGCACGATAGAGCTTCAAGGCCGCATGGAGGTCGATGAAATGTTTATAGCGTTTTCTAATTGTCCACTTAAAGTCGCCGTGTACAAGCTCGTATCCGTAGCTGCGACAAAGCAACGCCAGACCAATCAAAACGAAGCTGGTTATCCCGTATCACATCGATCAACAATAATTAACAATGAGCTGAGGCCTTACTCCTAACGGGTAAAGATAGATATGCGCAAATTCTATTTCCAAAAAATAACAGCTACTATTTGTCTGGTAAAAAGTAAAGCGAAATAATAAAAGGCTATATCTTTGATTAAGATTCGTATTTAGTTGTACCTACACATGTGACTGTATCATGCTCGTGGCTATGGAGTCTCCTTCAAGTTTACAACAGGAAACAATTACCGGTACGCCCGGGATGTAAAAGTATTCTGATGCTTCCGCCAATGATATGGGAGGTTCGTAGAGGCGTGTAAATGGAACATTGCTCGGTTGATTGAGGCCAACTCCATTCCCAACTAGAAAAACACAAACACTTATACCACTTGTGTTAGCTAGCGCCAATAGCAGGCTTTTTTCTCTTCACACATATCGTATAGTATTTAGAGGTTTTGAAAGAAAGTATTTGTTTTTCTATGTATTCACCTCGCGCGTGACAGGGTTTACGGGAAAACGTGTAGGAGCACAAGTTATCTCTTAACTTAAGTCGTATTTATATCTTCTAATCAAAAACTGCTTTCATATGTTCCTCCTAGAGGTAATACTTTTTTTAATCAATATAATATACTTCGGCTAAATTACCCGGCGTGTGTTTAACTAGAATTACCTCTAACCATAGTGCTCTGACTGTGGCTTCATTCGATAACAATGCCTTGCACTTGTCGACAACCCCTATTTTTTTTCTGTAAAAATCATCGTTCGAGGCATAATTGCAAAAACATTCTATGGCCATCCTGTAAGGAAGGTGCTCTTAAGTACGATAAATAATTTCTTCATAGCTGGCAATTGTGAGGGATCGGCCAACGAGCGGAAATATGTCTTGGAGGTGCTTTGCAGACACTTGGAACAGTTGCTTACCCTCGGCAGCAGTCACGACACGAGAGAGACGTGGCACTCGGTTATCTCGTTCGCTCTCAGGGCGCCCGGCTTCATCATTGCCATCGTCATCATCGTAGCTCGTTTCAAGTTCGCTAAATTCTTTGTCTTCTGTCTTGGTAGGATCCATGTCATTGCTCGCAATACTATGATCGTCCATGCTATTGAAGTCCGGATTCAGAAGTGGCTGACATTTACTGACTGCAAAGTAAATCAAAGGGGTATCGAGGAATCTAAGCTTTCTTCCATGTCAAGAACTGCCTTTGCCTCTTGCCGAGTACTCTACAGTGATCATACTAGTGTTAGCTGTGAACATACGCTATTATCAGAGATAATTTTACGTACACGTCAGCGACCCATTGCAACAAACAAAATGATGGCCTTTTACTGTCGCTATCGGAAACTGTAAATGCGTTGACAAATTCTCTGAGGCATGAAACAGTATCTATTAAGTGAATCCCCATTGACACACCTATATATACTGGCAGACTGAAGACGTCCTTGAGAACGGAACAAATGTATACAATGACGTGGACGATAATAAGCGAATAGAACTAAAGTCTGTGACGTTATCTCGTATAAAACAACTCATAATCATTTTATCGATAAGTTCATTTACTAATTTAAAAGTATAATTTAATTGAACGATTCCGACCTTCCATTGAAGAAGCGTCTCGATGAGTTCCTTTGATTACGGTTACCGAGTTTCCTGCTCAGTCAACGCTTGGCTGGCATTCTGCCGCTAGCCATTATGTAATTTCTATTCTGTATAACTAATCACTTAATCTTAACTAATCGATTGATACTGCAACCATGACCGTAATAAAAACCATACCCTTTAGGAAGCTCAAGAAATGGTAGAGGTACGTTTGCTCAACGGCTTCACTCGAAGTTGAACGAAATGCTAAAACTTATTTGGAAAACTATCTACGATATATCTTCGGATTTTTAACAACAATACTATCTTATACATGAGAAAAAAAACTTTCGATAGGTGATCGCTGGGTGAACTCGCTTCTGCTATAGCAGAAGGACAACTAGACTGATATTGGATGGAAGCCAAACAAGTAATAGTAGAACAGTAAGTAAAATGTATCTATAAAGGTATCGAAGGCATGCCTTCATAAAATTGGCTCGTTCTAAAATAAATGAAGTATGTATATATCTATATATATATATAGATTTCGATACTACTTACAGATATATAGGTGAATTCATAAAAGAATAGAGCATAACCCATCTCTCTAATTAAGTTTAGAAGCCTAGTACATTTTTCAAATGTTAGCTTCTTTTTACTATTGAATTTATGATGTTTATGAATGAAATTATTATTACTATTTTTTCTTTTTATAAAAAAGGGCTCCTCGCCAACGAAGTGTATAAGAAATCTCTGCAGAAAATACCACATTTTAATATCGTCAGTCACGCGCGCCTAAAACAGCTTAGTGCGTCACGACTACGTAGTTTTAATCGTTGCTTATGTAGTCCTGGGTTTTTGGCTTTACGCCAAAGCGTCTAGTGTTTTTAGAGGTTTCAGGAATGGCCTAGATTTTATAGCCTTGAGATCTACTTACTTAGGTTGCTAGATCCCAATAACGTCTCTTAACGATAGGCCAGTAGCTAATTGTCGTGCATGCGTCTTAATAGATGGACATACTGTTATATGGCTGTCTGTTTGTCTCCGATACGATTGGGCATATATATATATATACATATATATATATATATATATATATATATATATATGTATATATATAACGATGCCCACACTGGCGTACCGTCGGTGATCGAGTGATTGACAGTTCTCTCGGAAAGGTGAATAAAATCATTTACTACAGTAGGAAATGGGTAGTAATCGTGTCTACGTCTTGGAGTCCTAGAAGGCCTTCGACTCGCCTAAGCTTTTGACAGTCAAAATCGGTTCCGATCACATCTGCTTAATAAAAGTACACAATCTGCCGGGTTGAATTATTTAACGAGTATAGTGAAACATCTATTATGTTAGAGCTCGATTGGGCTCCTTAGTTAGTCGCGCCTTTTTCGCACGATCGAACATCTTTAAGGCTAAACGTCTATTGTTTGTTTAGTGGAAGGAACAAATTTAAATACTACGTTATATCCGATTTGTAGGATATAATACTGTAATTACTGCTTTAAAAAAACTCTAATTGAACTAAATGATTAGGACCCAATGTTTTTTGGAACGCACTGACAATTAAGTTTAGAAATGAAATGCAGGTATTTTTTTTTTATTAGTTAAAATTGCACTTGGTATCGAGCTGGCTATCTACGTAGCTACGTATACCTCTATACGTTACAGCCCCTCACACAATTATCGTATACCTATGCATTATATACAAGCAATAGATACAAACATGAAAAGTCTATATGACCATGATATATAAAAATTAACCCAGAAAATAGATAGTAAAGATCTACTCATTAATTGTCCTGCCCGTTATTGAGAAACATTTTTCCCATAAGGCACTTGATCCTGCCGCTATGGTATCCTTGAGCCCAACTTTTTTTAATGCGTTTATCACAAAAAGCGAAATAATTTACTACTTCAGTGATTCGGAAAGTGTGCACAAAACTATCGGCACAAATCCTGTTATTGTATGCAGTTGCTGCAATGAAGTTTGTTGCGATGAAAGAAGAACGTCGGGCAGGTCCACGCCACTCAACCTGACCAAGATGCCTGAAAATTAGGCAACTTCAGAGGGAAAGGATAAAAGAGAGATCTGTCGTAGCGTTAACTTCGAAGGCATGAAGGCCTAGTCATTACTACGGTCAGCATCGATTATCCATATCCATAACCATGCTAGCCACCAGCGTCACAGCTAATGCGGTCCTACAAGTATCGTATCTGGAAACTGCGGGCGGCGGGAGTCCACTCCGTTTGTCGTCGGAATTGTAGAGGTACCGAATAGATCACCAACAGCGCAAACCGTTCATAAATCGGCCTGTCTCTACATGGCCAACTGACCATTGTACCATGGAATGTTAGTAACTCGTGACCATCACGTAGCTTGCCGAAATACTACCACTCTAGGACAGTTATGGCCCGAGTAGTGCCATTGAATAGTACAGGGTCGGCGAAGCTAGAACGGTGAGAATATAGCAGCTAGGCTCATAGGTCCTGTAAAAGAGAGCGACAAACAGTCGACGCTGAACGAACAACAGAAGGCCTCAAGCTATAGGCAACACGGACACCCTCACAACAATACAGCAGCACTGATTCGCACATATCTTATACTTGACTCTAGTCCGGACTGTCTCGATAGAGCAGTATTACTGACGCTGATGTTGCGATGCCGCTCCGCGTCATGTTTGCCGTATTAGCCACTCAGAATAGGACTTCGGTCATTGGGTCAGCATTAGTATCGCTAATTAAATGTGATGTGTATTTTTTAATGCCGTCCTCGATAAGGCTTCGCTAAAAACACGATTTGTTTATGGGCATGTTCTTTCATTAGTAGTTACATAAGTGACAATCGAACCAGCCGAATGATGTTTATGTTACGAACTACGAATGCCGGTGACAGGAAGCAAAATTGATTGCTCTTCAACATCGCCCTTCATGCAAAATGTACCTCTAACATACAGTATGTACGTGCTATAATTCTAAATAGAGAACTTTATGGAGTAATGATTTATTTATGTTCGCATCCGCTTTGGGTCACTCTATAAAAAAACTGGAACGTTTTTCTCATCGGCAGCTAAAACAAGCCTCACACACAGTGTCGTATTCCGATACGAGAAACGTTGACAGCATCTATTTTAATTCAAAAGGAACGTTCAAAAAAACTATTTTGTAAAAAACTTATTCAGTTATACATTTCGGTTATTGTACAGTATTCTATAGCAGTTATTTAATCGCATCCAGATCTAGAGTATATTTTTTAAAAAATGTTATCTTCACGCTAAAAGCTACTTTTTTAATCGACTAAATCTATCGAACACCAACTCTATAATAGACAAAATTCAGCTAGGGGTAGTAGTACTCTTTTCGAGCACTTCATCCTATATCTACCTTTTAGCTTCGCGATGTCCCATTGCGCCGGGTGGTTCATTTTTTTTTTTTTTTTTCAGCTGAGTTTAGCCGAAATAAGGTCAGCACTGGGATAAACTGATATTACCGTTTGGGTACACGTAAACTAGGAAAAGAAAAAAAGTTCTCGATTAACAAAAACACGAATTTACATTAGTTCACTGTACACTTTTACTAACCCGGAAACCTAATGCCTTCAAGATTTTCTTGCCTTCCAAATATTAAACCTACTTTTACTTCATCCCGCGTATGCATACTGTGCATAGATATACCTTAGGAACAATTCGATTTTAACAATTATTTCATTGAAATTATCTACTTAGATCGATGATAAAGAGATGGATAGTTTATATTATGTGCTTGTTTATGGTAAGGCAAACATCCTTGCAACCTCTAACCCAGCCCGGTTCGCTCATTCGTGTTCCGAGTTAGTCATAGAATACCAACAAACACCTTTTAGGGCAGACAGCCGAAAATTTTAAAAACAGCTCACTGGCACTCTGACGGGCGTCCAACGTCTTGTTTCGACCGAACTAGAGTAGCCTCGGAGCCCTTGGACAAGCAGCTAGCTATTGTTTCCAATGCGCCGCAACTTAACACAAACGACACCTTCGCGATGAACGAATGTTTGGTACAATTCCAGTCGTGCAATTTTCTATTATATCTAACCTTGGCATTGAAATATATACTCGTGAAAGCTGTTGGTAAGTTGGCGCTAGTTTATTTATGAGTGACATAACGCTGGAGGGACACATCAAGAAAGGCTTCATGCTACGAGGTCGATCGCGTGCGCCTCATAACTTCTCCGCTATTATTATGTAAAAATACTCCCGTACCACTTAAAACCACTTCAGAGAAACTGTAAGATACGCTAGAGTGAGAGCGGGCCATTAAAAAAATCGCGCATGGTATCGAAGCGATTTCTGTTGCTGTTCTGCGAGGTTCAGGTATTACGGGACATTCAGGTCCCAACCATATCGCTTACGCATCCAGGGGCTGATACTGTTTGTTACGAAAATATTACCTGTAAAAGTTTACTCGGATATTCCTTCTCCAAAACCTTATAACAACATAGATTCTATAGATTTTAAATTCGAACCCAGCCTAATAGTCTTGCACAAAGATACTTCGGTTATACTCTGGCTAAACAACGTATAGTTATTACAGACATGACTAAGGTGTACATTTTCATTTTCTCATGATGGCGGGTTGTCGAGTAGTAAAAAGGCTTCTAAATGTACGTTGTTCGTTTCACGCTTAAGATTGAGTTGTCCAGAAAGAAAACAAGATAATTATCACGGACTACTAGTTTCTTATGGATAATTTCCATGCCATGGCTTTACATAGTTGTTCAAATAGCGAACTATTGTGCTGTAGATGTTGGAAACGGCTGTACTACGCAGCGTCGTATGGAGTAGAACGTCGCACATTTGGTATGAAAAGATCGAACAGAGGATGACCATTACGTAATATTGGCGACTAAAATCGTGTTCAGCACTTCAGACCGTTAGCCCGCCCCTCTTCCGCCGGAACAAAACGAGCTATGTCTATATCCGGTTTTGAATTTAGACCATCACATGTGCTTCTATACATATATATATATATTTGTACTTGTTCCGATCGGAACTGGGAGTCTTGGCTGTGCTTAAACCAATTACTAAATTTGTGAAACTGTCATAAATGTCCGTTTTACTATTTTTTTTTTATACCTTTATTACGTTTCGTACGCGTAGTACATTCGGAGTGGGGCTTTGTTTATGCAATAACCCACTAAGAATAGACCGAACGACTTCTGGCCGAAATCAACGAAAAGTTTCAGTAAATCAATAACGAAAACTACGATCAGTAGTGTTTTCTCATGGCGTCGGAAAAGTGCTCCCTACGTTTATTAGCAACGACAGACAGGTATATGTTTTACTTACTATTAAACTATTATTTATAAATAAAATAAAATATATTATTATATATAATATAATATATTATATAATAAAATATATTATTTACTATTAAAAAGGTTTCTAAACGTATCAGAGGATTTTCCCATAGTAGAAAAGCCATTACCGCTATTTATCTAGCCTACTGGAGATTTGATGTATTTATTAAGTCCAAATCAAGATAACGATTCGTCTAAGAAATGTATGTGCCAGGTTTTCTTGAGTAGACCTCGACGCAATGGAATGAAGTCTGCGTTAGGTGATACATAAATATGAATTCCGACATCTGTTGGGCATCGCTATTATAATGGTACCCTAACCGGTAGTATTTATAGTTGCCTATTTGCTCACTGGCCAATATTGAACAACAGCTGACATAAATTGCCCAGTCGATTGTTCCAAATGACTTTACGAGCATCTTATGATCGGTAGTTTTGGTTGGTCTTAATGGCCTTAAAAACTAACTAATAAACTAGTGTTTGTATGTAAATGCAAATCTGCTTGATAGATGATATCACGTATATCTCGTATATTGTTTGCTTTACAGCTAAGAGCAGATGTCATCATAAGGATAAAGGTAGGGATAAAGGTTAAATATCTACATAATCTAAGGCTCGGGACAATTTGCCCCAGTCGGCTAACCAACGGTAGAATAATGAGAGCAGTATGTTCAATATTAATGGAACCCATGCTCCAGCTGACCTCATAATCTTGCTGTCGATGAAACTTGTAAACAAATCAGATTTTTCTATGATGATTCTATATCAGACGTCGTTGAATTACTCTTAGCATTAGTAATAGCTGATATTGTATACTCTCAATTGAAACTTGACAAGTTCAAAATTATATTTCTACGTAGCTGAATTTTTTTTACTAGCATCTTTCTTGATGTGACACAATGTACAAACAAAGACCAAACCCTATGTTTTTAGTACAGATTTCACGCCTGTGCTCTCGTTGCAGATGATATTCGTATCATCTGGCCTTTCGTTTTTCGTTACGCGCGGCAGTGTAACAAGTAGAAACAAAAACTTTTCCCCTTCAAGGTATTGTAGAAATAATTTTGCGTCACCGAGTCGGAGAGGCATCTCCTTGCTTATAATACCTAAGCTTGATACATCAGACACCTTCGTTCGATGTAAGCATGTTTTTCATGATAGAAACTGTTCCTAGGAGAACGTTCAGCACCATAACCATTTGTAGGTGATGTAAATTCGAAGACAGGAAACACAAATAACGCACTATATTTACTAGTAATGATAGCAATAATCATGTAAAAATGTAATATAGAAAAGGAAGCTTTAGTCAAGCCATTGGGTTAACATAATCAAACAACGGAACCAGATCGTAGAATTTCCCGTTACACAAGAGACTTAACTCGACCTTACATGGTCGGCTGCCCCTCGTAATACGGCTTTGGCGCCATATAGCCAGTGAAACACATGCGAGTATACTGCTTGTCTGCTGCTTTTTATGTAGCCGGACCCCCCTGATGCTTGCGTGCTGGTCCTAAAAGAGGAACTCTGAGATGAGACACAACGTCTCTCAAAGTTATGGCGCGTGATAATGATCGTACATTGGTGCAAGGCGTATCTACACTATACTGACATGTCGCTAATGCAGTTCTGCCTGGAACATATAGTGGATTATTAATTAACCATGGTGCGATAGCCATTTTGCTCGCAACTGTCCTATCGCAAAAGACCTGTGAGCTCGAATTTCTGTTGGCAGAAACGAAGGGTTCATAGAAACACTACTGCGCTGTAAACTTGAATTGGATTATTTCTCTCAATCAAGCTTATAGCTAGATTTGTTAGAGCCTTTCCGTTACGCTGCTAGGGTGAAGTCGCAAGTTGAATCTGGCAGGCGGTAGAGAACTACCGGACTGGACATTTTCATGTGTGTATTGATGCTGACCAGCGACGGGGGCGCCTCGACGTGTTAATAAGCCGTGTCTTATTTTAGTGTTACAGAATGAATAAGTACGTTACAAGTTCATTCATTCACAGTTAATATTCATCAGTATCCTAAAACGGGAAGTTCGAACCTCATTGCTGAAAGAGATCTCCAGATATAAATGTCGAAAACGTCGTGTCCTTTGTTTTATATGTGTGTTATTCTTAGGCTTAATCGCACGGCTAAGATTTTTATATACTTCTCATATTATATTGTCCTGTTCGCTTGGTAGTTGATGCTTTGTTCGTTTCGTGTACGGGGTAACGTTCCTCAAAAGATATTAAAACTGTTTTTCCAGCTAGTAACTTAGATAATATTAAATCGGTGTTGTTTGAAAGCTGAAATTTATTAGTAGTAGATATGCTAAACTTGTCAAGATGTCTTTATTTAGATATAAGATAGACCGCATGGCAGTTTCTGCATGCACAAAAGTTGGTTAGAATAAACTGTGACATGACCATATTTCCATCCATGGGAAATTGCGCCATTTTTTAAAAAAGAAATATCACGGACGATGGAAAGAGGGTCACCTACGATAATAATGTATACATATAATAATGTATATATAAAAAATTATAATCTCTAGGATGTGACAAAGCCCGGTACGACACTAATCTGATTTGGGTAGTATTGGAAATGAATCGTGTATAATGGCTTGCTTTCGCCAAACGAAACAACTGGCAACTGTCAAAGAACCAAGATTACAGGAAACCATCGGAATAACCAGCCAAGTATTACCAGGACATCGTTTAGAATAACATACGCTTTGATCTAGTAATACGATTTTTAACTGCAAAAAAATATTTGTTCTCTTCAAAATGGCCAATACAAACATGTTTTTCTGTCAGTCTGTAGAGCCACGATTACGTGAATCCTATAGGATTGATGGGAATACAATAGATTGTGACACATAGTAGTCCAAATTAATTTTGCCTTTTATTATGTTATCAAGATGGCCTGTTCTTTATTTTCTGAAATAGCAAAAGTGAACGAAACGATGATTGAAGCCGTTGATTCTCCGATATGTGACGGCATGTCGGAAGTGAGTGTATTAAACGGGCAGCAAAAACGATGTAGGGACTTTTCACCGAAGGGCACATTCTACGTGTTTGTTTTCATCTAAGAAAAAAAAAAGATTCACATCTGTCAAAATCGCTGAGTTTCACGGTGTGTAACGTTGCCAGTTCGGCTTCAGTCAACACACCCAACACGGCAAATCGAAGTCGAACGGGTACGCCTATGCTTTAGTTTTATACAACGAGTTGGCTATAACTTCAGTTTATTGCAAGAAAGATCTACTTTTGTGAGGGAAGCGACGTATCCACAGGGACACTTTTTCCTCGGTTAACGATGTCCGCCGAGCTATCGAGATGTGCCAATTTAGAATTGAATTCGTCAGTTTTTTTCTCCTACGTAAGCTCGGAGAACTGGCTAACACACTGTTACTTGTTAAATTTTGATTCAGATGGAGCCGGAATCTTCTAAGGCAATGGCTTCATGATGATTCATCTTTCGCCAGGAGCTCAACACAGACATAGAGCTATATGGGCAATCATAGGGTTGTTACTGCGGTACGTTATCTATCTAGTTAACGTCAATGAAAACCCTTAGAACTAATTCTAAAGGCACAAAAATAACTTTTCTCTGCCAATCGATACTCATAGTGGCAAACAAACAATTCCAGCTCGAACTAGGATTTTAGGAGGTTTGTCAAACGGTTCAAAGTACTCTAGAAATTTCTATTTAAATTTTCCATTTTCAGAATGAAAAGCCGCCAAGGAATCATTGTTTCAATCAGTTACATTGACGACCGCACGCTGAAAAATAAAATCAGTCAAAAACATTTAATTATTCTGCGTTTTTCCTGAAAGTACCACAAAATAAGCTAAAAAAAAAAAACAACTTAATTTCGTCCGCTTAATCTTATAGCCGGTTTGCTATTCGTGACATCCGTAACGAAAATAGATCATCCAATTGGCAACAGCCTGCCTTGCACAAAGATGCTCACGGGACCGCTATACCTAAGCGATGAGCATTTTTTGTGCATAGCCTTTCCCAGTCGTCACGTAAAATTTCAACGACGCCAATAGAGCAATGGTCAGCGTCATTTTTCCATCGTGTTTCGTATCGGTACTTACCTGCAATGATTATTTAGTAAAGGTCGATCACGCTTCATATCCGAGGCCGTATTCACTACGGGTGTCCCGTTTAACGGGTTGTTATTGACTGAGCTGCACCGAGTTATGATTCACAAAGTGAGTCTCCATCATAATGACAGTGAAATAACTAAAGCACTTCAATGACGGTGTCGTACGGTGATCAAGGTCCTTGCTGAAAGCCGATCTTCATCCGTATCCCCAAGACTGTTAATTAATCTCGTGCCAATCCCAGTCAGAAGAACATACCATACGCTTGAAAGGGGTCTTCCGTGCTACGGATCTTTAGTATGCGAATTGATAAACGTGAACCCTCGCTTCCCTGAGACATTACCCTGTTCTCCGCCGCATCATTCGATTCGTGCTTAGCTCAAAAGTACTATATTAGGAAGGAATTGCTTACCGTCTACTGAGTGGTACGGTTTGTCGTTGTTTTTGACTTTTCTATTTCCGATGTATTAGTGCAGTTACTCGTTTCGTCGAACTTATCATATGGTTCAGTCACCACAAGCGGCTTCGAGCGAATTCCCATCTTTCATATTCTCATATCTTGCCGAACATGCCGAGCATTCGCGGCCATACAAACACATACACCGGTCCACGTCAGGGAACTGGAAATGGCTACGCGGTTACAAACATTGATTGAATGGGGCGCTACGATTGACGGACAAAGGCCAACAGCGACTTGGCGATCAGCGCACAATTGCCATACGAACAGACACATAGGTTAGTTAACTAGCTGTTTCTTTCAGAGACAGTCACTGCACGACGACGCTTCTTTCAGCACTTCCAGATCAGCTACGATCAGTCATTGATGGACTGTCTTCGTTACTGTATTGGCTTCACCTATTTAGCGTGTTGTTATTTGTTTCTTTGTGACTGCAGCGATATTTGCCCTCTTATCCGTAGGTGCGGCCATCGCGTATCCTCTCAGCGATGGATTGTGCTTCATCTGAAGTGTCCTCCACCAGTGTGATTCCCTCACTTGCGGCGCCGGCAGCAGCGGAGATAGGATTTCCTATTGCGGACTAAGGCAACAGACATGCTCTTGACGGCAATGGTAATTTTGTTGAATGTTGCCGTCTCTTCTGGCACAGCCGCCTGACAACGATTACTTCATAGTCATCGTCATAGCTGTGAAAGAATCAGAAACATGGCGGCTATGAGCAAAGCAGCGATAACAAAGCGAAAAGCCGCTGAGCACAGGATTAATTGTAACATTAACTTTGTAGTTTGCTTTGGCGTAAACGCATTGATATGAGGTCGGTCACCAGCGACTGTGATTCTTTGCATGCTAAACGCCTGACCACAATTTGGTGTGGCCGGGTGACAGTGTCAACACACAGGGTACCGGTCGAAAATACAGGTTAACAAACAATGTGCAAATTTTCGAGATTCTGTAAAGTCTGCACTAGGCTGGACAACAGCGTCGCTAGATTGCGGTCGTTGCCGGTGCCGGCCCTATTTTCGGTGTTTAGTAAAAGTTGTTTCTACTAAATAGAGAAACAACAATCGGTGCCAATTTATCAACTGTCGAAGGCTATCTTATGCTATGTTACATCTACCAAACGAACTGATCGATGATAACACTATACAAAGGACAAATACGAGGTGAATAGGTAGACCCTCGCCCGTGGGGTCCGGAGACCTCACGGGCGGGCGGTCGGTGGGTCGAACGGTCGGTTGCAAGTACAAATAAGAGACGCCTAGCTATTTCGTTTGCTCATGAACAGACCTCCTTCAGAGGTCACAGAGACACAGATTTAACCCGCAGGACGTACGCGACCCTGCGGGACTTGCTAGCGGGATCGAGCTGAAGCAATGAATCCAACACCGTAGCGCCAGGGAGCCACCGAGTTCCTGGGGCCAGACTGGCCGGCGCCGGCACGCCGTTTTCCGCGCCCTGCGGGTAGAGGGAGAGGGTCACGAGGGACATTGGAAACTCGGGGTTTCGGATCTACAGCTGGAGCAGTTGGACGCAGTAGACGTTGTAGACGACAGCGATAGGATGAGCTGGGTAGAACGAAGGGTCGATGAAGGCAAAAGAGAGTAATGCCGCAATTAAACGTGAAAAAAGGCTAGGCGAAAAGAATGACGATAGGATTTAAAGAAATACTCAAGAAAAGAATCTGCGTCTGCGGAAAGGAACTCTGGTAAAAGACACGAGATGGTAGAGTCATACAATATGGACGATGACAGGATAAGATGTACGTGCTTAGCTGGACAAATAATACGGCTGTTTAGTGTTTTAAGAGTAATCAGTAAACAGGTCGCAATGAGCACGTTCAAACTATCCGACTTTCAGTTTAGGTGGTAACTCGATGACGAAAGATGTTTGTTATCTCAATCTAAGCGAGCAGTTACTATGGTATTGAGCGAAGTTAATGCTTCGTTCAAAGATACGAGAGTGAATTCATCCATTAACTACTCTCGAAGTTGTGTCCAGTAACAGAAAAAATTAAGTCACAGGTTCAAATGAAATTACGCTCTGCACAAAAGCGTTACAAGTAAACAGCTTTTATAAGTTATGTATTTATAGGACAGTTTTGAAGATGCCTAAAATACACAATGCCCTAAGTCTTTTTCAAATTACTATAGTAAGAAAAGCTAAGCAAAAAGTTGCTTAATTAACAAGATGCACCTACCAACAAGCCAGATCAGCGGGCAGTTGGTAAAGCATAACATTCATGATCATAAAAATGCCCCAGATTTCAAGATCAATTAATACAACATACGTTTCTCGAAAATTCTACTTTTTCTCTCATCTATTTAAGCACCGGCTAAAACCCCTCCGTATTAGGCACGCCAATATTTTGACAGCGTCTAGGGACGATTCGTGTAAAATCGTATCGTATATTTAATTCCGGTGATAAGCTATACACTAGGTCGCGACCCATATTCGACAATGCACAGGGCCCCTTCGACTGTTCCGTATAGTTTCTACGGAACAATAAACAGCCCAGCACAACGGTCGAGAAACGACAAACCTTTCTGTCATACATGGCCGAATACAACTGTCCTCTTGGATACGTGAGGGTCCTTCCCTACATAGCCGTTGGGAAGACTATTTACGTCCTCCTGTATCTGTCAATTGGTAGTCTAATGACAAATCACTATGTGTACTGGCAATAGTCTAGCAAACGACTCTGCTGATACCAGGGATTTTCAGTCGCCACTGCCACCAATAGATAGTAGCGTGCTTTATCACGTGAACACACATCCATTTTAACTAGTCGAACCAAAATTCAATTGTAGTTAAATTAACAACATAGGTTCCGTGTTCGCAACGTACTATGAGAGATCTTGTCTTTTTTCCGTAACGTCGTTGAATTTTTCTCTGATTTAGGCTACATTGTCTTAGAATAGGATACAGTATATGATCTGCAGTATCTTTTAGTCTCTAACTGAGCCATGATTCATCCTGATACGCGTATATATATATATATATATAACGTCGATGTTTCTCTAAAATTAAAAACTGTAGCCTTAGCACACGCTACTGTTTTTAAGCTTACCTGTTTTTAGCAATTGACCGGCATCATAATATGTTTTTAGTGTTTTACTTTGGGAAGATTTTATTTTAAGGATTTTCCTCATGATATTCGAGAAGAACAAGTAACGCCTACCCTGAATCTGTATTGCGTAACATTACGGTATAGGGTGGCTGTGCGGATCCTTTCACGAGAATTTATCATTTATTAATCCAACACATTGTTGAAGCTCATGATCTACGTTCCAAACACGTTGTGTATCAGAACGGTCCATATTGTCCAGAGAATAATATGGTGTTGATATATGACTACCGTCAAATAAAGGTTGGCCATATTTACTTCGGTGCACATATTTATTTTAGAGAAAAATCAAGTGATGATAAAAACCTGTCTAGAACTTGTGTACAGTCTTGGGTCACGGGTTGTTTCTACATTATTGCGAACCTCTGGTGACAGCTGAAGCGAGCCGTCCTCAGGCTACGTTTGTCCTAGTTGTTTCCCTGGTTCGTGTCGCATGTTTACTCACTTCACGTCTGAGTTATTCGATTAATGGCGTTCGTTAGATCGGCTTTTTTTGGCTAGCAGATTTTTATTTAATTTGATCATAATACCATTCTGGTGCTATTTATACCTTGCATTGTATCGCAAAACATCTTCTCATAATTAAACTCTTATCCAGCGAACTTCCAACTAAGAAGGTCGTCACAAATATGTCATTCTAAATTTCTGAATATGTCAGCAGTAAGACATCCGTATGATGTCGGCACGTGCTTGAAAGAACTCCTTACGCACAAGTTCCTCGAGATAGGAAAGGGCACTTCACTCTCCCATTGTGGGAATCACCTACAAACTTCACGCTTAGCCTGTGCCGATTCCTATCAAACGAACAAAAGCAATCCATCCATCCTGTCAGTTTTGCTGTTTTTGTTCGATATCTGTCCCGCTCTCTATCGCGCTCCACTGAACAGTGATGTTGTCTCCTCTGGCGCATGCGCCGTATACGGGGCGCCATCGCGGTATTATCTCTGTCAGGTGGCGCTCTTCCCCCGCAATGACGATAAGCACAGCCACAATGGTGCACCAGCTCTCCAGTTCACGCATCCGAGAAATAGTGGACCTGTGGCGTGGTTATGCAACGTTTGGTTAACAAAGAATATTCCGCAACTTGCGGTGCCATCAGTGGAACCAGTAGTCGATCGAAGTTGAAGCATTTTACACAATGGCTGTCTATGTTAGATTGAGGCAACTGGGAAATCGGTACGTGGCTCTTTGATGATGGTGAACGAAAACATTTAAGTGATTACGCAAAAAAAAAAAAAGGTTTTGAAAGGCGAGTCAGACAAACGACAAGAGATCTCAAGAAGAGTGTTCAAAAACTATAACCATAATAAGCTTTTACGGTTTTTGCCTGTGACCGTCTTTTAGCACATTGACATGTTTGTGGTTCTCTTGAAGAGTCATTGCTTCGTAGTAAAACGTTCTGATCTTAAGCAGCTACGGTAGTGGTTGAATCTCGATGCAGTCCACTCATCGACTGGATGCAGGTCTTGTGTGCAGCCAGTGGTTGAGAATGGTGGTTAGAGAATTTCAATGGTAATACGACTGATTGTTTGAGAAAGGAGTAGCTATTGCATTGTAATTTTATGTTAACTTCTTCTGGGAAGCCACAGAAATTGGACTACATCTGAATAATTCAAATGTATGCATTGGGTGACTTATTGACTTCGTTGGGCGGGTGCTATCCGTTACGTCTTCGACGACTGGATCTCTGAAGTGTAATTATTTCCTTAGCTCTTCTAATTTCCAGTTGAAGTAGCGGTTGCAAAAACTGTTCTTAGAAGTTATGTATGTAATCAGATATCAGTGTTCTCAAAATGGCTCCGCTGTTTTTTTGTAGAGCTTTCTACAAAATATCAGGGATTCCTGGACGCTTCACCTAACATAATATATTGTTTCATCCTTAAAGTTGCCTTTATTGCTAAGCGATGTAACGAATGAATGTATAAATATCTGCAGCGACTAGCTATATCGCATTTTGTCGCTTCAGTCTAGGGAGCTACGTTTCCCATCGAATGACTTCCTCGTCGGGTGCAGCGGGTGCCACCTCGCGTCCCATCGAAAAGTTACTTATCGCTAATCGGGGTGAGATCGCGTGCCGCATCGCCCGTTCAGCCAAACGGATGGGAATTCGCACCGTAGCCGTTTACAGTGACGTCGATGTAAACTCAAAACATGTCCACGATGCCGATGAAGCTTTCAGGGTGGGCGAAGCTGCCGCAGCGGATAGTTATCTCCGTACGGACCGAATATTAGAAGTGAGTCCTCGTTAACGATGCAATTGGCAAAATGTGTCTAAAATAAAGTATTTACGGAGAAGGAAAAGCACAGTATTGTCACCTATTCTATAACGATACAATTTAAAGTTGCGTCATTCTGTGTAGATACATTGTGGTCCAAGTACTTTTATTCAAGGCAAGTCCAATTTTCCACTTCATAAGCGAAAAGCACTTCCGGAACAACGTAATTTGCGAACGTGAAAGCACATTCAGTATACGCTGCCATATACTGTCTGATTGTTTGAAGTAAATACGTATTGTTACAGGTGGCGAAGCGCAGCGGGGCCCAAGCGATTCATCCGGGTTATGGGTTTCTCTCTGAAAATGTTGAGTTTGCCCAAATGTGCCATAACGAAGGGATTTTATTTGTCGGTCCCCCTGTGAACGCAATTCGTGATATGGGTACGCGAAGGAGTCCTCGACAATAACCTCTATACGCTCGCGTTGTGCTTCTTCAAATCAACGTTTTATCTTTAAAGGCGCCTAACACCGACCAGCCAAACTTAATTTCAGTGCTTATTGTTATTATCATCATTAGTAGTGTTTCTTTTTTTTTTACTTTTTTGCTCAGGTATTAAATCAACAGCGAAGCGTATCATGTCGTCAGCTGGTGTGCCGATCATCGAAGGATATCATGGCGAAGATCAGTCCGAAAGCAAGCTTTTCGAAGAAGCACGAAAAATCGGATTCCCCGTAATGCTGAAAGCAGTGCGCGGGGGCGGCGGCAAAGGTCAGTATCATGCACGCTTTATTTCATGATCATCATTCATAGAGTTCACGTAAGACAATAATTTTTTATACCGCACCGTTGCTCTCGTTAAGCTTCAAGAGATGTCTTTTTGCGGTTGTTTTTGTAGAAGATTATTTTCGAATTACTTTAAGAAATTGCCCTTATGTTGTCAAAGTCTTTCGAAATCTACTAGTTTGCTGCAAGAAGATCGTTGAATTCATAGACCCAATACCTGTAATTGAAGCCCTGAAGATGTACAGAGTAAAAAAAAAGCGCTAACTGACAGAATCGTGCCATCATAATTGTCTCGTAGGAGCGGGAGTTGTATACCGCCACCGAATAATATAAATTAGTTCGCTTATAACGGAAGGTGAGAACATTGTTTGTGGATCATTGCACTGAATGTGTTTTTTTTTTTTTGTCTAATCGTCACGCAGTTATTTATTGTTAGCCGACAGATCTCTTGTTAAGTTTTGGTTACTTCTGTTGTCAACTGTGGTCTACCACACCCCTGTTGCCTCGTAACGTAATCACGCCGACATTTTGTCTCTTCAACCGCTGTTTATATAGTGGTTAAGTTTGTGATCGGTACAATCTGCGCATATTGTGAGTGTTTGACCTCCGTCTACGCCTATGCCGTTTTCGTTTAATTATATCGTGCTTTGGTTAGAAATTATAGTTCTTCTCTATCTTAAATATAATCACAGCAAAACAATTTCACGGTCTTGTTTTCACATTTGTAAAAAAAGAAAAGGTATACCTGTATTCTTAAGGAGCTTAGCGTAAACCGATTGAGATCCTATATGCTATTAATAAATCTCAAGTCGTATCGTAAATGTCGCACGGTCTCTTTAGAAGCCATCTGCATTGCAGACTCGAACCCGGATTACTTTAAGAAACTGCCCTTATGTTGTCAAAGTCGTTCGGCGTCTGTTATATTTCCCTATTCAGGTATGCGGATCGCATTTAACGAGTCTGAGTTCAGTGCACAGCTGCAAAGCGCAAAACGAGAAGCTCTCAAATCGTTCGGGGACGAAGTGATGCTTGTGGAAAAGTTCATCGTGAAGCCAAGACACGTCGAGGTTCAAATCTTTGGAGACGCTCACGGTACGTTTAGTATATTTCCTCGAGGTGACACAGGCATTACAAGCAGCCAATTTAACTTTACTTAACATCTTTGTTTCCTTTAACATTGTTAGGGAACTATGTGTACCTGTTCGAGAGGGACTGCAGTGTTCAGAGACGTCATCAGAAAATTATTGAGGAGGCGCCAGGGCCCGGGATCGATAGCACTACACGAAGTGAGATTGGAGAAACGGCTGTTCGAGCTGCACGGGCTGTGCAGTATGTCGGGGCGGGAACTGTTGAGTTCGTCATGGACCCGCAACAAAACTTCTATTTCATGGAGATGAATACTAGATTACAGGTACTATATGAAACCAGCACAACATAAAGTGGTCAGACATAGGTTGGTCGGATTTCTTGCAGCAATGGGTATGCTACCGATAGTCACCAGACCATCTAGCTGCTCATCGATCCACTATACTGACTTTGCTAAGTACGATTTTACTTTCGCATGGATCAGGTTGAACATCCGATCACTGAAATGATAACTGAGGTCGACCTTGTTGAATGGCAATTGCTCGTCGCTTCAGGACTGCCCCTTCCATTGCTACAAAATGAGTTGCCGCTTAAAGGGCACGCATTTGAAGCTCGAGTGTACGCTGAAGATCCGAAGAACAACTTTATGCCCGCGGCTGGTGTACTAAAAAAGTTACGCGCCCCACGTAGTGTCCGCGTAGATACAGGTAAGTTCAGGTTTATCTAATAACGTAACCAATAGCCTTTGTGAGATCTTTTAGTATGATAATTTCCATTTCCTTAACGAACCTTTTGCCAATAAATTTACCGCATTACTTGGTTATTTATATGTATGGTTGACGACCGCATCGCATCTGTAGTTAAATTCAATAGAATCGATTCATTTTGCTTTAAACATGGCTTCAAGGGCCTCATACAAACGCAGCGATCTGATCAGGTTGTGTCCCGTAGTTGAAGCTCTTTAGAAATTTATTACATCTGTCCTCACCGAAATAATGTGGCACGTGCGTTTTTACCACAGGTGTTCGGGAGGGTGATGCAGTCAGCGTGCATTATGATCCTATGATAGCCAAACTTATCGTATGGGGACCCGATCGCCAGTCTGCCCTTGTTAAACTCAACCAGTCACTGTCCGAATATATAATCGCAGGCATGCCAACCAATGTCTCATTTTTAATGAAACTATCGGCCCATAAAAACTTCCAGGCGGGAGACGTACATAACGACTTCATTTCCCAGCATTACCAGTCCCTCTTCGAACTCCAGCCTCCATCGGATAAAGTAGTTGCTCTTTCAGTCCTGCCGCTGCTGCAGAAAAAGAGTGCGGTTGACTTTTTCCGAATCAATATGGACCATATGGAGAAAATTGCGCTCAAATTCGATGACAAAGAGTACGTTGTCGACGTCACAGTCCACGGTGACGGAAGCTATACGACTCGGTGTGGTTCGTTCGTGCACCGGTTACGCGCTAGTTTTTACGATGATAATGGAATTATTGAGGTTCGTTGTGAACTACCTGAGGAAGTGTTTAAATTTAAAACTTACGTCGAAGAAGGACGCAGGATAAATGCATTCACAGGGAAAGACGTCTATCTATTTGATCTTGTACCTCCAGCATATGCGGCCAAACTAGATAGCCGTGCAGGTGACGGCGTTAACAGGGGCGCAATTGCGCCTATGCCTGGCGTCATCGAGCAGATCATGGTGAAGGAAGGCGATCGGGTCCTAAAAGGCCAGCCCCTAGTTGTGATGATCGCTATGAAGATGGAGGTAAGCACATGCGTCAATTTTGCTGCGTGCGCAAGGCTGTTTTCCGATATTTTATTTTCTTCTATGCGGTAAGCACAAGCCGATCTGTGTGTGCTTCTAAAAGATTAATTATGAAATCTAAATCTAAATTTTAATTAATGTGGATCTTCACCTGTAGGTCAACAGAGGCAATACAGTGAACTTTAGCACAAAATTCACCAGTATGATCAAATTTGGCTCTTAAGCCGACCTATTTGAAAGTTATCATTCCACCGTCGAATCAGAAATCTACGTTCAATCATAAAAGAGACCTTTTCAAAAACTTCTAACTTCCATTAAGCATTAGTGGCAACTAACCCAATTCAGTTATTTGCATTGAGTTTTTGTTAACTGACCTTGATGCGAAACAACAATGTACCCTTCGTCAATATAATCGAAGTTATTTAATACATCTTTTATTGTTTATTTCAGTACGTGATTAAGTCAGCTGAAGACGGCATTGTTTCGAAAATTTTATTTAAAAAGAATGACAACGTATCGAAGGATGCGCAACTCGTACAGGTAGCACCTGACAATGGAAAAATAACTTCATCAGTATGAATCAAGGAATCTTGCTCAATACACAGGACAAAGAGGGCTTGTCCTAGTGACGTTGTTACTATATTTACGAATGCTAATTCCAGTGATGACATAGCTGTTTTGTATAAGACGAGATTTTATCTAAGTTGCACAAAAACGCAGTAACCGAAAAGATCGGTCGCGTTTTTACGTTTTGCTCGTAAAATTGTTATACTTCGGCGCTGGCTTCGAAATGTTCGTTTAGGTCTGTGATTAATAAATAGTATGCAGTATGTAAAAAAGCAAGGATACCTTATGAACGTGGATTTCCCTACGTATCAACGAACTGCCATTCAGTGAGATAGCATTCTTAATCGATATCTATTTGAAGCGATCAGTTTTTTGCGTAGACTTACTATAAGCTGGGAAGGGAGCTAGTTATAAGAGTTAAGTTGAGTAATTATCTTGTAATTTGGGGCTATATTTGTTCAAAGTTTACGGATATTCATTAGTATGTTAAGACGCGAACATCTCATTATTGTAATCGGCACGGAGTACCTTAGTTAGAGTCGATTTCTTCCAAGTTGCTTGCTCGTCCTTTGTCCTCGGCGAATCCATGCATGCCGTAAAAGCCTTAAGTTTATCAAGTATCATTTTTTACGTCACAAGATAAATGCGCTAATATCAAGACCTACTTAGATATATGTACATAATATGTATGCTAATTTTTTGATCGGGGTGCGACGGAAGCAAATATTTTTAGTATAGGACGGCGTCACGGGTATGGTTTAGTGGCTAAAGCAGACATTTTGATGATCCTCTGCTCGTAGCTGATGTATTATTCATACGTTTAACCTATAGTTCACACTGTCCGTGCAGCTCTAATTGTCGAGCCATTTTTAAAGCAGCAGCTGCGAGTCGGTGTTGGCCTCTTTCTTTTTCTTTTCTTCGTTTTCTTGTCAATCGCCAAGCTTTGCGTTGGAACGGAAAAAGACCCTTCATGGAACCTACATATACTATACAAGGGTCCGTCAGTAATGCGGCTATTCATTACTTTTAGAAGCTCTGAACTAAATTTTAGCATACGTGTGTGTGTGTGTGTGTGTGTGTTGATGTGTCGGAGAGCGGCTTATTCTCGATACAAAAAAATGATTTCGGATTTTCAAGTTGCAACATATAAGCTTATATATATATAACGAGGTGTAGCTGTGTGCATCTACGAAAACTGTTAAAATTTATTTTTAACGTTTAGCCTCGTGTTATGATCGTGGCCAACAAATTTGCGCGCAGTAATTCGTCTGCAAAGTTTGCCTTCACGTTCGATGCGGTGCTGTGAATATCTACTTAGATTAGTTTTTGGATATGCCCTAAAGAGCGCTGGTTGATTTTAGCTTTTTAGGATCATAGTTTAACTAAATTTACATACAAGTGCCCATGACATCCGAGAGACATCGATAGGAAGAATAAAAGTAAATTCAAGTGTCTAAAACAAATCTTGAATAGGATATAAGGAACTACTAGAGCGGTGCGGACTACGTATCTAAGTTTTTACGTTTGTACGTATAATTTCTACTATTCTGCTTGTTTTCTTTAATAAATTGAGCTCGAAAGGCTCGAAGCTGAAGAAAAATTCAATCCTTTTCTAGGTGAAAGATTGCCTTATTAAGTGTTTCGCATCGTTCAAACTCCATTTCAAGTAAGCGATTCAAACTAAATCAAACTTTTAGAAAAGAGACAACATCTTACCTGCTACCATTGTTCAGAAATAGGCGGATAATCCACCTTTCAATCAACCTTGTGTATTCGACCACAGCTAAAGATTCACTGTGTTTTAGCATTGTCTATTCGTTAATGTAAACTCGGGGTGAAGTTGCACTTTCAGTTGACGAAAAGAAGCGATCTAGCTTATTTAAATTCATTACCGGGTTATTTTTTTGCGAGTAACTTAGTGCCCTGCTCTCCAGCTTCATTAGCTTTAATTGGTGCAAATAATCAGTAATCGCCGTTCAGAGCTATCTCACCACATAGATATCACTTTTTTTTTTTTAAAGAAACTCAGCCTTTATCAACGCGAATACCTTCAATAAAATTTTAATAGTTCAAGGAAAATGCACTTGTGCTAACTGCGAATCGGAACATTTCCTATGGTGGAGTTCGATTAGGTCACCTGTTCAGGATTAACCGCAAAATGACTGTTAAATCGCATCACGGAGGCAAATAATCCGCAATGTCATGACTCAACTTTAAATTTTCGCGCCGCTCATCCTCTCGCCTCAGGATATCTTTGGACGCGATAGCCGGCGTCTCGGCTCACCCATTCCAGCGAAGGGATGTTGCTCCTCGAGCAACATCGGTCATGACGGGAATCTAGTCAGCGGTAGAGCGGTTGTTCGTTTTGCAGCAACAGCAGCCCCATCTAGCTCAGTTGGTGTATGGTGTTTGTATTGTGATGTTGGTCGAGCTTTAGAGGAGAAGAGAAGCTCGACCAGCAACAAAATAGGCAAAAGCTAGAGACTGCTAGAGCTTGCTTGCCTGCCTGCCTGCCTGCGTGCGTGCTGCTTGGCACCCGCCAAATCGGTTGATACTATATAGACACGCACGCAACAGACAAAACGACTCACACAGGCGCTCGCTCACATTTCAAGCAGCAAAGCAAAGACCCAACCAATTACAGACCGGTGGCAGTAGCAGTCGAAGTGGGCTGTATGTATCATAATAAAGCTGCCTGACCGCCCGTTTGCTTCTGTACGAGAGCCACAGCTACCCTATATCACTGTTACTAGTGCTCATGGGTAGAAAAAAACCGAATCCCCGAGCGGGTCTGTGATACTAGAATGGTCTGGGCTTTATCCTCCTGTCTTGTGCATCTGACTCTGATGATGTTCACGGTACGACCGTCATAGGACAACGATACCGACGTTCGAGACAACCAACAGTGGCGCGTACTTGCATGCGTTGTTCAGTGGGTAATAGTAGTTGTGGTTATTCAATGCATCGTCGACTTGTTGGTTAAATTGACCATCTGCCTGTGTCGTAGTTAGCGTATATTTGCAGCACCTACCAGCGGTGGTATGCCTCTGTCCGTCTTAGAGTGAGTTCGTATTTGTGATTTTTGCCGTTCCGCATCTACGGGCGCTACTGTTGCTCCAGCTGCTAGATTGTTGCTGCCACCCGTTCAGTGAGTGCTTCCAGAGAGTTTGCTGGGCACCGCGCCCTCGTCCGTGAGTTCTTACGGACTATGTTTGTAGTTGTTCGCTGTCTATAGTAGACAACGGGTAAATGAGAAGTAGTAGTGCATTCGACAGACTAAACCCGGCGAAAAAGAAGGAACTAACGATTGCCCGAAACTAGCTATCGGCGATTATCCGCAAACAACGACAAATACAGAAGGCTCCAAGCGTAGTCGAAAAGTGCTCTTCCCTTTCTGCGTTTTGTCTCGTCCGATGCGCTCGAATCGAACGCGCCACAACGAGAACACAGGTATTGGAGCACGACGACAACAGCCAGGAGTCTTCGTAAGGAACAAATAACACCATTTTGTAGTCCTGCTATTAAGGCGTAGCCAAATCGTTAGCGAGCAAATCTTTGTTGTTGTCGTCGTCGTCGTCATTGTGTTAGTGTTGTGTGTGTGTGTGTGTGTATAGTGCGCGTGTGTTTTGAGTGGATAGAAATCTGTGTTCATCACGATTGTAACGCATTGGCTACGACGCGAGCGGCTTCGGCCGCCATCCAGCAGCAACAGACGTCAAGATGCAGATGACCGTCGAGGAGTTTGTGGCCGAGACGCTCGATGATCATAATAGCCCAACGACCTCGCAGTTCGTCAACAAGATCAACGACTGCCGACAGACGGTCGCCAATCTCGAGGAGGTCGGTCCGATTGTCTTGGTGTGAATTAATCGACCATAACGCTAGTATTTTTTCGCTGATAATTAATACGAAACATAAAGTTTACGCGCTAACGAATGGTAAAAACGAAGCGTCATTTCATTTTGTTGGATTTTCCTAGGTAGTATATCACCCTAGTGCTGCTTCACTGTCACTGGTGAAGAAACACATGGGAAAATATTACAGACTGGAGAGGGGATTATTGGACCACAGATAGGCGGAAGTAGAAACGGCTGCTTCAGAGCGTTCCTCTGCGTAGTCAGTCGCGTAACACATTCCGAGAGATGCATTCAAAGGGTGCACACGTTTGGCTATCTTGACACTCCGATAATCTGAGGGAAGCGATAGTTGGCTGTTGTTTTCTCTTTAAGTACATTTGGCGAAAAAGCGCAGGGGCAGGATCGGCTTCGAGAGAACGCTCGAAATAAATATTCAGTCAGATTCGACAAGGAGTCTGGCTCTGTTAATTGCTTTCGGCCAGTCGACTAGAATGTATGTATACAAACTATTACAAATCGAACACGCAGATCAACTAGAATTTTTATCTTGTCCTCGTTATACGAGTGCCACCCGTCGTTGTTGGAGAACTTCGGCTTGCGACACTCGATTCTTAGAGACGCACTGAAGCATTAGAGTCCAGAAGTAAGCCCAGTGTACTAGAGGTCATCGACTTGAGATACGGAAAGAGCGTAAAAATACCCGGTAAACTAATGGTGCCTCATGGGTTAATGAAACTTAGAATAAGTCTAATTTAATAATTAGGAATATGGTGATGAAGTAAAGCAAACGGCCGTTTATAAGCTGTGGCCGTAAGGGAACCGGGTCGCAAGTTGCGTAATATTTTAACGTCTGGACGTAACAGTGCGAACCTGTACACGACCGTGAACAGTTCTGCTATTTCGTTTATATATAAAGTTGAATAAATTGACAAGCAAAAAAAGATCAAGAACGTTCATCTTAGTCAATGCTTGAAGAAATGTAAAAAACGTTTTTCCTGTACGATGGGTGACCAGGAGATATCGTCATGTTGTACATTTAAGAGAGCTACGTTAAGGACTACTGGTAGGCTTTTATTAGTTCACCATAGAGACACTGTCCCGCGTCTGGGAGCGAATAATTGTGTGCGCTCGAAGTTAGGAGTCCGGTACCTTTCTCGTGTGTTGATCTAGATTGGTCACTCTGATTGATCACAACGCATCGAGAGAATAGAGTATTTACAGGCGCAGTTTGCGCTCGTGAAAGAACTCATATGAGCTCATAGATTATTTATTCCACACAAACATACGATTTTATTTCCAATTACTCTGTACTATTTTTAAGCTTTTTGTTCAGGCGTTTCCTTAATTCTTTTCCATTCCTCTATCAATAATTCGGGGAGCGGAAGAGAAAGGACGTAACGTGTCGAGTTTTCTTCGATGAATTTAACCATCCTTCATTCAGGCGTACAACAAGTATCTAACTTGCTAGCGTGGTTCTAATTAGCCGTTTTACTAAGTTACCCACCTTGCTGATTAGGTAAAGCTAGTTTAACTAGTTCTTATTTGAGTCTCATTAACAGCGAGCAAGTAGGTTGCCGAGCAACTGCGGACTTTTAAGTCTACTACGATGAAAAATTTTCATGTTATATACATGTACATATCTAAATCAGCATTTTTCCTTACGCTTTGTTCCCAAGGCTGTACTTGATATAAAATTTACTTAATATAAGAAATAATAACGCAATTACAATTTTAACTTTGGACTTTAACCGCTCATTAGTAATCTTCAAAACACCCTTTTTTCGCCAATAACAATATACGCAGATAATAGTAACCGTGGGTGGTAATTGTAAATTTGCTAAAAGACGCTACTTCAGGGGATGTAAATTTTGGGGTAATAGCGGATCAAATGTAGCAAATATGCAAAGGTCAAAACGACAAAGGGGTTAAGGAGATGTAAAAGTAGGTTCGTAAAGACCAACCGTCGTAGTTCGTTTAGGTGACCCAATCGATAATTAGTATTTCCTTCTACTATCTTTTCTAATATCTATCATCGATCTTCTACTATCTATCTTCTTTAAAACGGTCCTTAATATTTGTTTCAACAACCCAGGCGTAAAAGCGCCCTTTTACTTATTTCAATGAATTTTTGAACCGTCTAACCTGAGCACTGATGAGAGCTAAGTGTATTATTCCCTATCTATGTATATATGTATGCATAGAATAGCCTTTCGTTTTTCGTGGACGTATCTAGAAGTAGATGGAGTATCGTTGACTATATGTTAAAAAAGAAGACACGCACACGCAGGCCCACAAAAAATTTATATGTATAAGGTAAACAAGCGGTATTGCATCATACGGTTACTTTGTTCGGTATCGATTGTTAATATGTAATTTTTGATATGTTGATGACTGAAATTGGGCCTCTTCGAGATAGCCGTTTTCGAAATCGCTCAGGACTGCAGTGCTGATTGATCGCCAAACGCGTATAGTATTGTCGAAACATAAACTGGTAGGTTCTTTGAAAGCGACGAATAGGTTTATAGCGCCACCTTTTATGTGAACGACTACCGTCTTCAATACCATAAAATCTTGTCGATAACAAACGCTGTATTAGTATCATTCCTCCTTATAATCGGTTGTCGTTTTAAATAAAATAAAAGAACGACCCAATTACATTTTGCCTTCATAAACCAAAGCCTTTCGGGCTTTAGCTTATAGGCATGTAGAAATCAAAACTATCGTCCGGCTTCAGAATTGATCACATACGCACGAAATAAACAGATTGTGGAATTACTCTCATGTTTTAATTAGGTACATTCTTGAACAAAATTACCTTTGGTTTTTTTTTGTATAGCACTTAATATCTACATGAGATTCTGCTTAATTATAGGAAGATAATTTCGCTGCTTGCCCTTCTGTGGGCTGTGTCAAGGGCTTTAAATTTTGTTTGATAGAGTTTCTCGGCGCGTTTCTCTGACTGCATTGCGGAGTCTTGCAGAATAATCAGCCCTTCTACTACTCCTGTGATGGTACCCACCATTAAGGTGTGCCATTAGAAACAAACTTGCTTCATATATGTAATAGGACAGTGAAAGGTTTCACCCCACAACCCAGCTTATTCCCACACCATACACTTCTCCAATCGCATAACCCGTCTCTTGGATTGACGTTCCGTGCACGGCTAGCGAAGTACTGGCATAGTTTTGTCAATGCGAAAACTGTGTTTTCTGTCGCGGTAATACCTACAAATCACTGGATGCCACCGGGGTTAGCATTAGTGGACCTGCCCTACTGCCATCGCTGCCGTAACTATTGCCGGCGGTAAACACGGCGGCAACAGCGTTACTTTAGCTGTGCGCAACACGTACATGTGGCTTCAGTGCGGTGGGCAAATCCCGTACATTTTTTGACTCTTTCTGCTCTTCATCCTATTCGGATGCCCCGACGCCCAGCCCCGTATCTGTTTCAAGTCAGAAATAAGATATAGCCCAGCGACCTCCAGTCCCGCCGTCTCAAGCTTATTGCTGGCGGCGCATTGTCGTTTCTGAGTACCACAAAGACAGGAGTCAGTTACTTGATTTGAAAATAATTTTGGTCATCCCCATTTTTCCTTCTACTCGTTTGGTGGCAACCGTCAGTTCGTGCGAGTGATACTGCTATTGAGCAAAGAATACTTGTTTCCATTAAGGGGAATCTCAGTGGTGAATTTTTCCATTGTTGCTCCGCTTCTTCGTCCAGTGACAACATCGTGAAAGCTGTAGCAGCTAATAAACTAAACGTTTCGTAAAATTTTGCCAACCTATCGTCAGAGGTGATGATTTAGATAGTAACACGTTCAGGGTAATGATAAACAGTTATCAAGAAGTGTCCGGATATTTCCTAAACGCCTAATGTAAACACATAATTGGCAACGTTCAGGAACATGGGTTCGATGTAATTTAATGTGTGACTAAAGAACGAAGCTATTGTAAGCAACAAAAATACCCTTTCCCGGCACACGCCTTTTCGCTATAGCTACTACTGTAATCGTTTTACTTACGTGGTTGCGTTGCGTTTAGGCCAAATGTTAGGGGTCTGTTGACTTTTTTCTGAGCTGCAGATCTACAGATAGCCTATTACTGTCAGATGGACGTCCTTTTTCACTAGTCTGCTAGAAATTTGTCTTCCTTGTTCAGCTCCGGGTTCCTTTAACCTATTAAATCTAAAAGCTTTTTCGTTTAGCACGGCCATGCTAACTTGCTAACGGCAGTAGCCGCCTAATCAGTTCTCGTAAATACCAATATCGTGAAAACGATGTCATTCGTGTTGTTGATGTATCACACAAGACGAATGAGGTTATTTCCGTTACGTAATTTGCTGCTTTTATTCGTGAGTGCTGACGGTGATGCATCTCGCCATGATGTGTTGTTTCACGAATGGTCGCGTGAAGTTCATGTCATGGTCGGCACCGCCGTCTACCTCGGAATGGCAAAGGTGGGGTCGGCCGCGTCGCCTGCTCGGCAGCGAGGAGTCGCTACGTGACGTACGCTATTGTCGCCACGGTTGCTTCTATTAGAATTAGAAGTATGTCTCTTATTGTGTGATGTCTTAAGCGAATGTTTATCAGTCCCTGGGTAGGAATAACCTTTGGGCGCTGTTTTGAAGAACAGCGCCAAGAACAACCAAATTGGCTGAGACTAACATTGAGTATACAACAACGTTCTCGCGTGAACAGTGTGCGTTTAGTTATTTTTGCTTAAATAGGCAATTGTTATGATATGACTGTGCAATAAGGGCACCGTGTTGTTGTCATTGGTTGCTATGGTAACGGTATGAGGGGTTATTTCTTTAAGGAAGGCATCCGCTATTAGATCTTGCAAAACAATGAACATCCTATATTGAAAAAACGATTGGGAAATTTGCCTTTTTCATGCGGTACTTGGTGTCAACTGTTAGCCTACGGCAGTACCCATTCGACTAAATAATACACAATGAAAATGTGTGCAGTGCAGTGCAGTGCAGTCTGAGAAGATTTTCTACATAGATGTGCTATGTTGCTGGACTTTGAATTTGCACACCATTAAGAGGTTAGTTTAATAGTTTGAAATAGATGTTATCACTTTGGTCGATGTTGCTCGTGCTTTCAGTTTGCACGCAATTAAGGGAAGCTCGGGGTACGCAGTATTGAAAAAAAGCCATATTCGTTATGTTTTGATTTCGTCACATGAACATATATCGAGATCGGGATAGCGGATACGTAGAAGCTTAGCTTTCTCAAACAGCCAGTTAAAACACGGAGGTGGCTACAATGAAGCACATTTGTTTACGGGTATGTTTATTGCTCTGGCGGGCGCCAAGTGTTCAAAGTTAGCTGGCTAGGTTTCTTGAAATTGACGTCTTGATCCAAACAAGAAAATTCAACATCCAAATAGTTGTTTATGGAAAAAACGCATGCGTTGTTCACACTAGAAGTGTTTCATATATAGCAACATATCAAGGTCTAACTGGAGATAGAATCAGGCCGCAGGTCCTTGTAGAGACGACGAGAGAAGCTGAACAGCAGTTAGCGAGGGCGGTCTGGCTAGCGATATCCTGAAGATCAAAGGATCCTAAAGCGTTGTGATGAAAGCAACGTGAGATTTGCCTAGTGGGAGGTCTGCTTTATGTGACTATAGGCTGCTTCGATCGAAATATCTTTCTATCAAAGTACAGGAATACTATACTTATTACCTACCTACGTAATCGCAAAAGGCCAGAGAAAGTGCTCACATACTGCGTAATTTGCTATTAGCAAATGGTATTATTTATAATATACAAAGAGACAAGTCTTTATCTTGTCATGGTCATCTCTGATTTATATTAGGACCATTGTGAAAGCAGCACGATATAACAGAAGTAGAGGCGTCTCATAGACTTAGTGTTACTGTGTACATATTCTAGAATCGCTATAATTAGATTGTGTATTATTCTACAACGTCTGTATAGGCTCGAGAGATCACTTATACTCGAACCTTGAGTGCGTATTGAACACTTTTATTAGTTTTTCATGTATACTTATGCCATATATGCCTGTTCTGAATATGGCAGAACGGTTTTCGACTATTATCGTTTTTAAGATAGGAAATAATTAATAGGACAATTTTTTTAGTTCGATGGCGTAACGTAATAAAGCTCGTTATTTTTTCTCTCGATTATCCTTTGGCCCTAAACAGGAACGTGGTCTGGCAAATTCTATCGGACATTTTCAGAAAAAAATTTCCTGCACTATTAAAACGAATGATTAAATGTTGTCTCAAGTCTATTGTAGAAAATTTTTAAACCTCACTTCCCATTAAATTTCCCATCGCCTCGCTTCATGGATATGGCCTAAACGCTTGTCGCATTGGCGGCTAGGAGACCGTGTTCATTCCGTCTCGTGCTACACTCCTGCGTTTGCTTTTTATTACCGAGTTATTTTGTCCAAATTATCTATGAAGATGAATTGCCGTTAACGAACATACCTATAACATTTGTCTTTCACTGGATAACTATGTCATAAATGTTTGTAGTACACTATTAGAAATCGGACGTCTACGTTACAGAAGAATGTGTTATAAAATGGCATAGAACGATCTAATCAATCGTACTGTTATCAAACTCTAGGAAAGATTATGAAAAATGATATAAAATGAGGGTATCGAACCTTAACCTAGGCGTTCGATCACATGAATATTTGCGCACAATGGCAGCACTCTCGGTCATCTACCTAAGCTAATTTCGATTTGTACGTCTCTGATCAAACTCGTCTCGCTATGCTAATGCTGTATAAAGTGTTACTCTCTCTTCATCTGCAACCATGTTGAGTTTACGACGTGACAAGATGGGTAGTCGATAGACGATGAACATGTTCAGTCCATTTGTCACTGGTCGTAGCCGCTACCGATCGTGACGACATGACTAACAATACAGAGCTGAAGAAGGCGAAAGAGTGTTTCCGGAAGCGAAATATGATGGGACAGAAAAGCGCGGGAGATATATATACCGTAAAAAGAATAACGTCGACGTGGCGCTTACGGCCCACACATATTCGATGCATTGAATAAGGAGATAATTCGACAGTAACGGAAATCGCTGCTGGATATCGTGACTAAGACAGCTTGGTAAAAATTTTCTTGTTACGTGCAGGTCAGGAACGGTCAATAGGCGTTACGTTTTTAAGACATAATTCATGCGTGTTTTGTATGCGTTCCTTCAGCGTAAATCTTTTAAGCGTTATTGAGCAATTTGCTAATAATGTTTCATTTTTTCATTGTAAACTAATATTCCAAAAAGGTGCGGTTGAGAATAGGCTCAGAGCCGACTGATCTATATCTGTCATTGTGTTATCGCTACGAATTGTTGAACCCTTTACCCTGTTTCTCTGACTGATACTAATCACATTGATTTCACGGTAAACTTTGCGCAACGGTACGTGTATCATCCATCGTATGAGTTGACAAGGAGCAGAGATGATGTGACAAAATATCAAATTGTTGCTACATTAAGGCTGAGGGGCATTCCCCATGGGTCGTATATATTTGTCTGCCGTCACCCCTTTGGGATCCCACTACCCACGTGTGAGAGAGTTGTTGCTGTTGTACGTTTAGCACTGTTCACTTGTCCGGTAGTTGGAATCAACGAACAGTGCATTTTCATATGTTTACAAACTTTTTTAACTTCCTCGTTGTCCTGTCTAATTAGGTCTAATACAGTCTATTAACGCATACATCTCTAGGGGTTGTATCTGTTTGGTCTTACAATGGCTGAGAAACTCGTTGATTGTTGTTGTTGAAAGTAATCGTAAAGCTTCTGCCTCAGTGATAATCAAAACCAGAAATATTGTATCATTAGCGATACAGCTTCGTCGTCCGCCCTTGTCTCCATATCGTCGGCCGCAAAGAGGTATAACACGGTAATTTCTTATTAGAACAATGACGTAACCATGCATATGAAAGTAAGTTGCAGGAACTGTGTGGTTGAAAGGCTAGTTAAACCGTGACGTAGACTCTTCCATTTAGAGGTCCACAGGGACGTGATGTTCTTTCTAACATTTGGCTGTTACACGCTAGCGCGCTTTTAGCAGGGGTATTATTTTTTCTACCTACATTCTATTGTGAACTACTCTGCCTTATTCTACTTCGTATGTTTCCGAAATTGTTCCCTCAAACTCGACTCGGAACGTTAGCGAATCAGCGATAATTCAGTTTCAAAAAAACAATGGTCAATTGCACTTCTTTTCTGTGACGTTTGAATCTTCACGAAGCACCGTGCGTCCCGATAAAGTGCACGTAAAGACGGTCTAAAATACATCCATAAAAGTAGTCGTTATTCTAAATGGAGCAATTGACTTCTTTCCGGTAGCCTTTTCTTTGAACGTTTCGACGTTTTAGCATGAGGTATTCTTCGATTTTTGCTTCGTTTAGGAAATAGTTCAGCATCGCTTCGCCTATCTAGTAATAGAGCGATTTTATAAGCCACACTCCAGGGGAGCTTCCATTTACATATCGTAAGGTACATATGCCCCCGTCATTCTTTAAGCCCATGCGCTTAATTTTAATACGTCGCTCTTTTAGAGAATTTTGAATTTGTAGTGTACGGTACTCATCGTTTCAGATTATCCAAGTCGTTTGAAACCATTATACCTGGCTTTCTTTGAAACCTGTCTTCCACTAAATAGTAATATGGTTGTCTTTGGCCTAGAGGCACGACATCTTCATTATGGGCAAAGTAGGTCAGCCTTAAAGTTGGCAAATAAAATGAAATCGTTCTTCTACAAGCTCTAAAGGTTTTGCTTTTTCCTTTGCAGTCGCTGGACTTCGATCGAGATGGCCTGTCAAAACTCAAGAAAGCCATTAAGGCCGTTTATAATTCTGGTAAGCGATCACACAAATATGCGATCACCCGTCAGGGAAATACAGCCATAAAACGAGAAACAATCTTATTTTCTTTAGTTTTCAATATTGCAAATATGCACGTTCGATATATTTTATTGGATCTACTTTGAGGAAAAATAAATTTAAAAGCTTCCGTGGATATAATGGAAACAGATGAGAGCTTCTGACCCCAGTTTCGTCAAGATTAGATATCACGCTAGCAGCTGAATTTTCTTTATTCGTGTTATACGCGTTCCATGCGAAGTAGCGCGTCAGTGAACAGGACATGCAGTTTCTACAAAAAGACGATGGTTGATTTACCAATGAAATTAGCGACCAGCTCAATTTTAATTTTTCTCTCAATTTCAAATGTATGGAATATTAGCCAGTTTGGTGTCCTGTTATGGTCCCCCAGTATTTCCTAATGTTTCCTGCGTCATTTTTAGTTTAGCTATGTCAAAAAGCAGCTTGATATTGACCTCGGTGCAAACGCAGCGCGGAATTCTTCTATCATCAAACCCGACAGGAAATTTTCAATGGAGACACCAATTAAGTGTATAAATATGTTTTTAAGTATTTGCCAAGCATTGAAATCGGAACTGTGGCATATACTCCTAAAAAAAAAAATCTTAAAAAAAAAACACTGAATACGGCAAATACCACTGAAAAATTATTTTAAAAAATCCTCTCCCTGCGAACCACTTTAGATGGGTATAGTAAAGTGTTCAGAACGCAAAATTTAAACGAGATTTGAAACAGCACGAGACAGTAACGAGGAGCCTTCACAAAAGCACTGCATTCACGGTAAGATAAATGAAATGTTTCCTTCGACTCTAGTAAAACATTGTGCTAATTAATCAGAAATCGACTCGTGATACTACCCATTTAAACTTCGTAAGCCTTATAGGAAGGCAATGGGTAACTAACTGCCGGGCAACTATATATGCGGAAAGCGTCGTCCCCGCGAAAATGATTGAAGAACATGCTTCTTATTGTGCTTGTTGTATTAAAATTGCTTGTATATATCTGTGGGTTTGATGAGGCTTAGGGTCCGGCCTAATCTTTTTCTAGCAGATTTACAGTAAAGCTATTTCAGTGTACTCCTTTTGTAAGCCACGAAATAAGCATGGACCAGATGTCTCTCCAGTCTAACAATGGCTTCAGGAAACTCAGTAAATAATTGTCCTAAAAAAATATTACAACATGACTTCAGTAATTTTTATTCAATATATTTTTACAGGTACAACACATGTCGACAACGAACTATACCTGTCGAAAGCATTAGAAAAGCTGGGCAGCCATGCAATGTCGCGTGAAGGTGAACCCGATATAGGCGCGGCATTCATTAAATTCTCTATCGTGGCACGTGAAGTGTCCTCACTCATGAAGACGCTCATGCAGAGTCTTCATAATATCATCATGTTCCCTGTAGAAAACTTGCTCAAAGGCGACTTGCGCGGCGTAAAAGGTTTGTTTAACAAGCAACAAAAATACGCCTGTGAGGATCCAACTGGAAGTGCGTCAGCCTTTTTGGATTGCGGTCATAAGCCCGTGCAATCTGCACGTATAATTTAAAAGTGGCATAATTTAGCCTCATTGGTTACTTAATGTTATCGTGCTTATTTGATGGAATTGTAATATAAAAAATATAAACGTAACACATTTCTTTCTCGTTACAAAACTTATGTAGCCACTTTGGTTATTACTAACGCAATCAGTTTAATTGCGTGATGCATAGCAGTCCATTGTAAACTGTGTCTGTTTAATTCTTTTTTTTTTTTCTCCATTTCCATATATCGTACTCAGACTTGCTCGCCGTAACCTGTCATCAGTTTATAGTGACAGGATGATTAATCCTGGATCTATTGTTCCATGCATGGTAGTAGCATGAGATTTAAACAAATTAGCCGAGCTAAGGGTAACAAGTAACTTGTTTCTGAAGTTATAAGCGTCGAAATATTCTGCCGCATTTCCTGCTCAAGGTCGCAGCGTTTGTACGGTACACATTTGGCTGCTACTAGTTATGCCATACGTATGGCATTGTTTTGGAACGTGGGTGTTTACGCCTGAACAATTTTGAAAATAACATTTGAGTAGACAGAGATATTACGGATCTCTGTGTCGGTTGAACCATTATTTCAGTCGGCCTAACAAGCACTTTTAACGTTCATTGTAAAAATTAGTCGTAGAAAGGTCCGCCTGCCGAACTTGATAGGTCAAAAAATAACAGGAAATCTTGATTGTACTTCATTCCAAGTTCTTCGAAAAGTTTATTAAGTGCATCAGTTTTTCTCTTTATGATACACTCACCTACCTTATTTTGTAAATACAACTGTTTAATCGATTTCGAACATTTTTCTCTTCACTATAATCCAGGTGACCTAAAGCGACCATTTGACAAAGCATATTCTGACTACGAACGAAAACTTGGCAAAATAGAGAAGGAAAAGAAAGCCATTGCAAAAGAAGCCGGTGAGTAAAAACTTCAATGAAGCTCATTTGTGGCCTAGTTCACAAATATCCGAGTCCGTCCATTCCCTCGATGTATGCTGCATAGATTAGTTCATCTAACGTTAGATAACTTACGCTTGATTGACTTGTTACCCCCCCCCCCCCCCCCCCCTCCCCACCGTCCCAAACACAGATGCTGCGAGCAGCCGCAATGCTGGTAATACGATAGTGACATAAACGCCTACTTGCTACTGAATTCTCGTATAAAACCTGTTACATGTAATTGGCTATGTTAGACAGACATCGCATGTTGTGTACTTGCCGTGTATTTAACTGAATGAAAGGGAGTGGAATCGGTCCTGTATTTGTGTTTGGTGTTAAACACCTGTCAAAGGGGACCGTGAAGGTCTACATGCTTCATATGGGAGATAGCACCCGTTGATAGTATATCTAGATCACGAATTGAGTAATAGGGCTGTGAGATGTAAAGGCTTCGCGCCAAATGTTCAGGGGTGATGAAAGAACGTCTAATGTTGGCTTACGCCGTTCTCGGCTTGTGATTCAAATCTTACAATAATGTTATTAGGCATGATTCGAACGGAGATGACTGGTGCGGATCTCGCTGAGGAGATGGAAAAAGAGCGACGATGTTTCCAATTACATATGTGCGATTATTTACTTCGAGTAAATGAGGTAAAGACGCGTAAAGGGGTCGAACTGCTGCAGCATCTTGTCGAGTTCTACCATGCGCAGAACTCATTCTTCCAGGACGGCATCAAGACCATCGGTAAGAAATTGGCTTACTTCCCTCTGCAGCATAAACGCTTCATGTCCAACTCCCAACAAACAGTGACATGTATATGATTGATGAGTGATCATGAGATGACGAAACTGTAAAATAGCTTAGTACAGAATGTCTGGCTAACTAATTGTTTAAGCGCACTTTTTTTTATTTTAACCCTAGCCGTGTGTTGTTACGATATCGTGACGTATCGATACCGTTGAGTACGACGTTATTCGTCAGTTTGTTATCGCTATTTGACAGCTCCATCAAACTAGTCAGGTATAGGCCAGGTAGGTTATGCCACAGGATTAGCCACTGCGCGATTAGATCACTCCAGTCATAAAGTGGCCTAGGTAAATGCTGTTATCGGTATAGCTGCTGTGAAGATTCGCATTGAGATCAGTTCACTGTATTGTTGTTGTTTATATCGAAACGTTTATTTGAAAACTTAAAACGTAAGCAGGCATACTTGCCTCGTGTTGGTCGTGGCGTTGTTTATGTAGATGGCAAAGGTTTTTTTGTAGACGTAAAATCTTCATTGAGTTGCAAGTGTAACAATAGCTCTAACGATAGCTATGTCGGGAGGCCTCACAATACTTTAGAAACTGGTACCTGCTTTGGTTTCCCGAATTATTAACGATTTCCAATTCGTTAAGGATCAAGTTAATAAATAATTGAAGCAATAAAAAAAAAAAGGATAAAATTAGTCGTATCACGTATCATAGTTCCGCTACGTATCCTAATTATAAGAAAGCTATAGCTACAGTCGGCTGAAGGGATACTGAATTTGATTAATGATTATCTATCTACCTTAAAAACAACTATCTAAGAACGGACTATTATCTCAGTCACTTCCCTGTTCACAATGGTGACTGAAGGAACGGCGGAGAAAATTTCCGTAGGAAATATTAAATAATTCTCACTGTCAATCTACATTCTTGCCATTTCTAATTGACCTGATACAAATTCGATATTTGACAATTATTATTAACAACTGTGATAAACACAAACAGGAAGTAACACCTTAATCGCAACTGACCGGCTTCTCGACTTTTTTGGCGTTTGTTTGCTCTTCTCCTTTTATGTGCTACAGGGCATTTCCAGCAGTATGTGAATGAGTTGTCGGCGAAACTTCAAACGATGAAGGCGAAGCAGGATGAAGAAAGAAAGAAGCTTCTCGAGCTCAAGAACACACTCAAGAACTGCACGCCGTCCCTGGCCTCGGCCAATGCCACCCTCGATTCGACGCTGTCGTCGCACGGAGTTGGGGGTAGCTCCGCTGGTTTGGGCGGCTTGGGAGGCCTAGCTTCGGGGGGGCTTGGGGGCCAATCTGCTGATGGGAGCGCCAGCAACGTGCATAATACCACTCAGAGTGGTTACTCACTTCATCAGCTACAGGTTTGTAGAAACGAACACCATTGCATGATTTGTTAAGCTTAGCTAAACAGCTTAAATCCTAGCAGAAGATCCATTGAACTCTAGCTTTACGAGTTACATTTTCCAGTAAAAGAACGTACGCAGGATTTGTGTACAGGATATACTAGCCGTTTTAATGTTGACTTAGAGCACTGAAACAATTTTACTGCAGATCGTTTCCAGTATTGGCCAGTGATTTTAACTTAGCTTCTGTTAAAATAGGTCGTATTTAGTTCGAACACACGTTCTACAATGCTAGTTCAGAGTGTTATTCGGTTTTAGAAGCTGATATATCTATAGGACCTAAAACTTGCCGTTTCAATGTGGATAGGGTCTCTGTCGTTCATATTTATTGTCTTCGGGATCTTTGTTTTGGCCTGAAAGTAGCTTTCAATGAAGTTATTTCCCGGTCACTGGAGAACAGCTTCATATTTCGCTTAATAATTTCGGTTAAGCAAGCGGTGTGTGGTGTATTATCTTGTACCAATCGTGTCTGCTTTGAGTGGTCCATCGATCGAAGATCAGTCATCGCAAATGTTTGTTCTACTGCATCTTATAAATGTCTTGAGGTGTATGTCCGCTATTCAGATGGGCGCGTCCATCGTTGTTGTTTAATTTTTATAAACAAACACGTTACATCAGTATATTATCAAGGTAACGTTTGCAATATAATATAACGATAGATCGTTAAAAAAGAGCACCGACCAATATTGGATCCTTTTATAATCTGAATTTTTTCAATGCATGCACTTAATCACGATGCAAATCGCTTCTTGGTTAACGTTGAAAGGTACGTTTAACTTGTTTTTCTGTGCCTATCGTATCATGAATTAGCTATTTACCGTCATAAAATTTCGTGGATCTGGCGGCTGACGCCATCCATGCATATGCGCGGACTGGCTACACACCTAAATTTAACTTGTTCAAAAATTTCTTAATGGATCAATATGTTGAGTGGTGCTTAAGTTGTTAAATGCAGTAGTTTTTTTTCATAAGAAAATTTTTTACCGATAGAACCCGATTGTCGCTAGGCAGGGCTTATACCATACTATACGAATGAAGTCGACTATTTGTGATGATATCGAATCTCTTATAAGCTGTGTTTAGCCATGTTGGCTATTACCGATCTATTTGCCTACTTGTTTGATTTGTTTTACTTACCACAGGGCAATCAACATTATGGCACGACAAAAACGGGCTATCTATCAAAAAAGAGCGACGGAAAGATGCGTCGAGTTTGGCAAAAACGACGATGTGAAGTGGCTGACGGGGGTTTTTTGTCAATTTATCATTCGGATGAAAGCAAACCTCCGACACGGTTGAATCTGCTTACGTGCCAGCTTAAACTGCCCTATCAAAATCAAGGTGATGAACGCCAACGGTGTTTCGACCTCGTCTCCTGTGAGTAGGGATTGTGCATTTTGTTGAGCTGTTTAACACTATTTACGTTATTGTGCTGATTTGATAATTGAAAGCCTACCAGTGTCAATATTAATGCTTACACTATATCCTTTTATTTAAGCATGCCAGTCGTTGTTACAGTTAGCAACTCCTGGCGTTCTTCAGCCAAACGTATAGTCGTCAAAACGATCGTGCGCGACAGACTGAAAGTACTTTCTCCTTTTGCTATCTATAAACGGTTCGTAATTGTCCTTTCCTTACGTTCGCTCTCTCTCTGCCCCTGTATTGTTCCTGTCCCGCTTGCGACGCGAAGACAATCGAACATACCACTTTCAAGCGGAGGATGACGCTGATCTCGAAGCATGGAAAGCCGTCCTGCTCAATGTTAAAGAAGGAGCACTGAGACGTGCATTCAGTGATTCAGCTGGGGGTGCTGAATTACGGGAGCAGATTACCCGTCAGGTGCAAAGTCTGCCAGGGAACGATCGCTGCGTAGATTGTGGATCGACAAAAGATGTGACTTGGTTGGCAACCAACTTCGGTATTATCACATGTATCGAATGTAGTGGAGTGCACCGGTAAGCCTACATGAAGTTTCGTCAATAAACACTACATGAATTGGGAAATAATCTAGAAAGCTAGACACACGATAGAGGCAGACAAGACCTGTTGTTACCAGAAGTGCAAATTATACGTTTCAGTGAAATGGGAGTGCACATATCTCGGATACAGTCCCTTACGTTGGATAACTTGGGTACCTCACAGTTACTTCTCGCCCGTGTCATGGGCAATCACGCATTTAACGAAGTTATGGAAGCTACTATTGGTTCTATACCACGTCCCACTCAGGCGTCAAATATGGATGAGCGGTCGGAATTCATCCGAGCTAAGTACATGGATAAGGAATTCGTTCTCAAGACATGCTCCTCCATGCAGGATCTGCTGCAGGTACTCTTGTTCCGCATTTAGATAACACTTTTATCTGGGTTTCTATCCAATAGGCGTAGGCATAGAACCGAGCTGAGCTCAACTCTGTTTGTGTTATATCTCTAGGATACGGAGCAGGCGATCCAAGCCCGATCTATACATCAACTGCTTCAAAGTTTTGCTGAAGGAGTAGACTTTTCATTGCCACTTCCAAGTTGTCAGAGTACAGGAGAGACGGCGCTTCATGTCGCCATTAAACAGGTAAGCATTGCCTTTAACCTGGTAAGATCGGTCCGCGTAAGAGGACAACAACGAAATGGTGGTTAGTGATCTTGGTGAAATTGAGCCCTCCCCTTGGGAATGAGCCTGATATTTGGCCCACACGAAACAGACTTTGATGCAATGGCCCGCGTATCTACAAGTTGAAGTAAAACTTGTGCGTACAAACGCGTAAAACTTGTTTGTTTAAGTAGAAAATTCAAAACAACACAAAGAAACAAAACGTAGAATATTCCTACCTTCATAAAGATGTCACAGTCTGGTATAACTTTACGCCCATTACCTTATTGCGATCGCGCAAGCGCTGCGATGGGTATCGATGAGAATCTTGTTCCTAGGGGCAAGATGACGGAGGGTTTTTCAGTTTTCGTTGAAAATTTTTGCTCACACCAAGCAGGATTTCTTGTCAGTAACGCCTTCGGTCCTCAATTTCTGGTGAAGTAAAATTTTCAAAAATAGACGACGCATGTCAATAAAACAAACCGTTTCGTTTTCTTTTTCCACAAACGAATTCACTTTGAAACATTTAACGATGACAGAAAAGATACGCAATAGACGTGCCTACAAACGTGCTAGTATTTTGAATCGAACAAGGAACTCCAAACTACCCGCTAGCAAATGCAAGATGGCAATCTATGAATTAGTATTTTATTTAACTACATGTAATTACACATTTAAATAAGGTGAAGCGAAAAGGCAGCGTCAAAATTCACCGACAGGGTGTGAAGCCCCTTGTGCTACCCGGATACGTAAGTTCTGAACGAAAGTACTTTTTTTTCCTGCATCGACCGATGCCATCATACTTAACAATTGCATAGCAGCCAGCATCTAAAAGCAAATACCGACCTTTTAACTAGCTTTAACTGTCTGCTGTGACGATGTCCTTCAAGCGTCACTTGGCGCTTGTCGTATAGAGGGAGCGCAAAGCTGGCGTAACGTTGGACGCACACAGTTATCAGTTAATTATTAATTAAACGTCGATTTATTGATTGCTTATTACGCAGGACATTCGTTATAAGCCAGATCGTATTGCTTTCCATTCGTATCTCTTAAACTATAGATTTTTAACATTAGTAACACCATTTTCCCCTATGAATGTCTCGTATACACAACCAGCCCTCTACTAAAATCAACTAAAATGAAAAGCTCATAATAATGTTAAACGAAGACGAAGAAACAATTCGAAAAGACCTAAATGTCCGATCGATTACGTTGTAGACATACGGTACGCAGTAATCATTTTCAAAGGCGACACCTGTAAGCCTTCATCTTGAAAGCTTCAATAAATACAACGTTTATGTAAGTTCAAAACCACCTATCTTGAACTAGTGAAGGTTATGTTGAATCCACGCATGTGTTCGTGTGCCATTATTTGTTTTCGATCGTACTGACTAATATCATCTACGTGAAATATGGACAATACGAAGCAGACGAGACTTTTCTAAGAAATTTATTTTTTCGATTGTCATCTTTATGCCAGTGCGTTTGCGACTAAATCGAGACTAGGGAAATTTGCGTTTAAGGACCATTACGACTCAGCCTGCTCCGTGAGATGAATGAAACTAAGTTCAAATGGGATCAGGCCTAAAGAAAAGGACAAGTAGAGGCTTTTAGAAATAAGGTTTCAGTCTACATCTAATGAGATCCTCTATTATTCTAGGCTATATAGATAACATTATAAATAATACGACATTATAGTTGTCGTAAAAATTAAGTGTTCTTGAGGTTTCTCTTCAGTTTCAATGCTCATTCAATTCTTTTATGTTGGGCCCAAAGGGGTGGACACGCGTCGTTCTAGTCCAATCATTAACGTCACGGATAGTTCCTCTCCGCTTCGTTCTTATAACGTCATTTCGTTTCTTTCTGAGGTTGCTTGAAGAACGCTTTAACCACACACAGCGCTAAACGTACCTATCATCCCTTTATTTTTACTGTTGACTATAAAGGACGTGTTCTGATAAGAAAAAAAATTACACCAGTCTTTAGCTAAGCTGCTCCAACTGTACACCGTACAAACCCAGGTCGTAAGTAGATCTTAAGTAATGGATCGTATGTTATTCAAAAGCGCATGATTAGAGAAAGGAAGTAAAATAAAGGAAGGATTGTTATGGTGAAGTTTGGTAACCAATTGCATTTGCCTAAAACGTATAGGAGTACTTGTATCACATATCTGAACCGCACACAGTAAAATTCTGAAAAAGAACTTTAAATAGCCCACAACTTACTACTGAAATATATATATATTTCAGTATATTACTCACATATTACTTTACGTTAGTATAGAGGAGTAGTTATATTACCTGTATAATATAACAAATTTCTGTTCTTTAATGTGTAAGCATACCTAACTTTGGCCTAGTTCTCTCACCAAAACAGGGTATCTGAAATTTACCTGCTCCGTGAAGCGTAAATAATTAATCAACAAAAGGGCGTGTGAGAAGAAGCCTCTATAGGAACATGCGCAAGAAAATTTGCTGTAATAGAAAATATCTTCGCTCTTTGAATAAACTAAAACAAACTATCTCCATACGTCTAATATTATTTATCCGACGAGCATGTTCAGGACACATTTTGAAAACATGTTTTTCCCTTACGTATAACTAACCGAAAAAAAGCAGTTTCTCGCATGCCCCCCCCCCCCTCCTGTAACGAACCCCTCGAATCAAACGAGGTTGCTCCGCTCATACAGAACTCGCTTTATGCGTTACCCAGCGTTTACCGGCCACTGTTGATATGCATGACATTACCTATATTTTTCGTCCGTGTAACACTGATCCAGTCGTTAACAGCTCAAGTTTCTATGCCATCTGACTGCGAGCGTCTAACAATACGGACTCATTGAACTTTTCATTGGCCTGCCTTAGCAACCATTGGCTCAAGTTTGGAGCTCTCACCTGATCTGAAAGGGTATCCCACTACACATGATCCTTTAGCAATCAACATCCTTCTAACTTTGTACTATTAACTTTCCTACTGAATAGTAGATCTAAACAATGTATGTGTATATCTGCATTGGCGCTTTAACATTTTATGAACTTGTTCGCCGTCGCCGCCAATGGCCACAATTGTTTATTGCAGGAGGACGGCACTTCGTTACATTTGGTTGATTTTCTCGTACAAAATGGAGGCGGATGCGCCGACGTCGCCAATGTAGAAGGCTGTACCCCACTACATACCGCTGTTCAGTTGCGACAGACCGAATGCATTAAACTGCTACTTAAGAGCGGAGCCCGGTATGTCGCCCGAAATGCCGAAGGAAAAACAGCTGCAGACATTGCTCGTGAGAAAGGTTACGACAAATGTCTCGAGCTGATAGGTAAGCTTTTCCTTTTCTCACTCACAAATACTCTTTTCATCAGTGTTCGTGTGTGAGCTTTGCTGGGCGCAAAAAAGACAGCGGGGCTGATCGTCCGTGGAGACATGGCATTTGTTGCGCATTGCGTGTTTTCAAAGCAGATATGTACTTAGCCAAGTTGTCAGCCTGTTAAACCTGAAAGGCACAAACCCACGCTGTGAAAAGTACCGCGTTCCTGCTGTTGCATTATAGTTAGAATAAAATATAATACTAGGGGAACTGTTCGGGTAGCAGCACTGTTGGACTATTTTCTTGATGCTCTGACATCGCTTTAGTCAAAGGTATTTATCTCTCGCGAAACACCTATTGAAAGTGACTATGTGTAGCGGCCCATTTTTGGTTATGAGCGTAACTATTCATTCTTCGCAAAAGCAACAATTGTCAATTCAAGTTAATCCAGATTTCTAGAGGAAAAATGATTTTTTTATAAACCTGTGTGCACACATGCCATGTACCATACCCGAACGTGATCATGTTTAGCATTGATCTGCTATTCGATACATTAAATTCTCTAAATCATAAACGGGACGCTCTTTAAGCATAACTATGTGTGGCTCGCGCATCTTCGGAATGGCAAGACTGCTATGATTCGAAATGACTACAAAGTAAACATGTTAAACGTTCACGTAGTTTAGAGGAAGCAATATGACCTTTCAAAGAAGTGTGGAGATCCTCTAACTTGTAGCACTTGTAGTACTTGTTATTACCCAAGCCTTCAAATGACTTCAGTATGGGTGGCCAGAGAAGCCGTTACACAGCCATGATTGTGTGTGATTACCTATTTACTTGACTATTTTAAGCTCCAACCTGCAACATTACAAAACATCAATACTCTTCATGCTATTTGCAGAGCATGCGGCCGAAAACAAGAAGTCGTTATTCGAGAACGTTAACCTCGACTTCGGTAGTCTGCAGGCCCCAGGACTAGCAGACGACGGGTCCACAGATTTTTCTGACGACGAGTACGCCGACGAAAAGGTAACTGCAAACACTTCATAACGCGCTGACTACATAAACATTCTAGAAAGCTGGCATTGCTTGAAAGCTATCCCATGCTCTTCAATCGAAATGTTTTATAACGTGTAGGGGTGACCTTGTGACCCATGGCGGACTGCGCTCAGTCCGCTTCGTGACATCTTTTTTCAGGCCTGAAAAAAGACTCTTCTGCGTTACTTGTATCCAAGATTTAACGCAGATGTGAACCAATCGATCTTTCAGATCCGTTTGCTGTTTTGAGCAGTACCGGCCCATAAAACAAGAAGAAAAACGAATAAATTGTTCGCTCATCTTTTGCCCTATGAATAATTAATTTCCTTTGCAGCTGTCCGAGTGGCGCACTCGAGGTTCACGGCCATCGTCAGTGATTTCGACGGATCTACTACGAGCCGAGTCGCCACTTAGTCGGAAAAAGGTGCCTCAAGGGGGTGGCTCCGGAGCGCATTCACATACCCCCGGCTCGGTGAAAAAGCGCGTGGCACCTAATCCGCCCCAGTTACAACTGCTAGCAACGTCCACTCCGGGAAAACATAACCGATCCCCTTCTGATCCGATGTTTACTCCGGGTCAACTCTCGTGCTCGACGCCGGCGTCCAGCACAACGTCAGTTAGTTCTACGGCAACAGGGCAAGGGCTCCATGGCGGTCAGTCTGGATCGTCAGCTCAGAGTGGACCCCACAAACGAAACCTCTCTATGGACGTCGGAGGCGGAAGTGGAGGTTCTACTGTAGGTGGTCCAAGTCTACTGGACGAAATTACGTCGACGTTAGGGCGAACAGCTGTCGCTGGTCAGGGCACTCAGGTGCAACGACCGAAATTCCCCCCCCCGCCAAAGCCACCCATTAATGGTGAGCACTATATCGATAGAATAGGTGGTGACAACGGTTTACAGTAACCAATAGAAGATGCAATACGTTTGCTCAAGATGCACAAGTTAACATATGCATATAATCTAAAGAATAACTTCATTTTTTTTTCAGTGAGACGGTTTATTCGTGTAACCCTTTAGCAACTTTTGAGTCTTAGTTGCTTATCAATAACACTTCTGTAATTTTCTCCTTACTACAACAGGTGCCAAGCCCGAAAGCATTATTATCGGCGGCGCGCCCGTCTCGACAACGAAAACCACTACAACCTCCATAGGAATGAATCCTTCAAGCACCACGAACAGTCAAGTGCGACGTTGTCGAGCACTATATAACTGCCGAGCGGACGCAGACGATGAGCTATCGTTCAAAGAGGGCGATATCATCCTGATAACAAAGGAGAAGACCGAGGATGAAGACTGGATGGAGGGCATGCTCCAGAATGGGAATGGGAAAAAGGCACTGTTTCCAGTGTCGTTTGTGGACATGATTGACTGAACCGGTCTGATAAAATTGGTGGACCTTGAAGCACTTAATCAAATGCTTCACTGACGCCCACTTTATCATATTGGTTTAGCCTGGAGGCCGTTAAAGGGCGAACAAGTTTTTAAGACAAGCCGTGATGCGCACATAAAAATGATTCAGAAGTCTTCTGGAATAGCAGAGCAAGCAAGGATCAGTGCAAAATTTTTACAAACATTTTGATCTTGATAAAGACTATCTTCTGCGATTGATGCTGTGCCTGATGGAACAAATTATCGTTTATTCTACCGGCGTGATAGACGGGATCATCATGCCATGTATATTTGACCTAGATGACTAAAATAATATAACACTTATGCCGAGAAGACAAGAGCTCAGTGTACGATCGGCTATGCATAGGTGGGATAAAGATATAACTATTAGGCACATTTACCTAGTTTCTTACTTTGAAGGAGGAAAAAATTAGCGACGTGACTCTTTGTTTACTTTTTCATCTGACAGAGACAGAAAACATCTGACTGGAATGTCTTTAATAGCTAAACCCAAACCATTATATTTGTACCAATAAATAAGATAACACGATGGGTACGTTCCGCGACGTGACTAGATTGTTCCTGCTAAGCTAGTCTCTTCAAACTATTTGAATTAGCTTAGTAAGTTCATTCAACGATGACATATACACACTATTTTCGATGCGATCCGTTACTCTTGATTATAGTTTGCTGTTCGTCGGTGTATGAAGGCGCCTTGAGCATTACCCCACGGCCCAGCGTAATAGGGGTACCGAGCAATGGCTAGATCCTCACGTTCATCGCCGTTGTGGGAATCACGACCTCTGCTGGTCGATCTCAATTTTAAGAGAACAGGAAGGCTCATGTGCATCAGAATCTGCCAACAGTTACGGATACTGTCGTTTAAACGCATGAGACTTTGTTCAGCGTCCGAACAGTTATACACCCTTTAGAGTCGCAGAGGATAGGTCAGAACAGAATCTGTGAAAGCAAAAACACGGGTGATCCACGACTATTTTTGGTATATACACCACTGTTTTCTGTTGCTACAGACAGAACTGAGGGGTTAGCTAACACCTAACCTAGCTAACAAATTTTCCTATGTTGTACCAAACAGCCAGTTACTAAGAATAATTATATAGACGTGTGATTATAACAATAATAACTGATGACGACACTTTGCGGAACCGCTCTTGAGATTTAAATGGGCTGCTATCAGAATTTCCAATTATACAATAAAACCTGTTCGAACTTGACAGTTATCAAGAAGATGAAGCCGAAAAAGCGGTTAACGTAGTTTTAACCCTGGTTCGCAGTACGTGCACACATCGAGAGGCTACAAGGAAATCGGATAGACAAGGTCCAAGCACAAACAACTGAAGATAGCTGAAATGTAACCTCCGTTCAATATTTTTATTAGAAACCACAGCGAAGACGATTACATCAGGCAATAACAGCGCTGATGACGCTAATAGAGAAGCCTGGCGTGTGTTACATATCTAGTCGTTCCTAAGTTAATTCCGCTCTACATGTTATACATGAAACATGGATAAAAAGGAAACAGTAACCCTGTTATATGGTGATGCTATGTTTGCGCGTGTGTATACAGATCATATGAGCAAAAAAAAATATGTTTGTTGTTAGGTAGCGAATGCGTGGACATTTGTCACAATGAATTAGCTCTAGTTTTCGTGTTCATCTTTCTTAGTTTTCTGAGCTAAGAACAGATAGTCTATGGGCAAGTAGAAGTACAACGGTCTACCATGCCCTTTTGGTGCATTCTGTGCTACACTGAACGCATACGAGCAATGAAAAGTGGATTGTACAACAACACGTAGAACATGAAGATACTCGTCCTGTCCTTCTTGCACGACAGCTGTCATGCAATTTAAAAAACGATCATCAAGCACAATCGATCCGCCATTTTTTGTTATCCACTTGTCATTATTTTCTCAAGATGGTGCTGCGTTGATTGTAGGGGTTGATGTCTCTCGTCCATTCTTAATCTACTTATGTCTACTCAACGATGGCTGGAGGTCGACTGAAACCTGGGGGAGGATTATATTTACTATGCATTGATTTTACTAAATAAGCAAAATTTTCATCACTAGTCGATCGCGTTTCGATGTATATTTACTAACTACGCTGATCAATGATGTCCGAATACTACTTGAACCACATATTTATTTACACACAGACACGCCATATATATGTGTTATATATATATGGGCGTAATTGTTATTTATTTATACTTAAAATACATGTTACAAATGGCTGACAGAGCAATAGTGACAAGAATTATAAATAGCTATAGCGCACAGGGGGAATTGTCGGAAGATCTATTTGATCATTTCACAAATGTAAAGGTGGTTAAGTGGCCGACGTTGATGAAGACCAAATGACAACGCTTGTTTTCTATGGGTATAAATAGTGCTAAGTTAAATTATATAGGTATCACTACGTCGAGTCACGTTCTACGGGCCGAACTCTGATGAAAATCCTTTCTAACAATTGGGCCCTTTCGGATTGGGTAAAGTTATCGGCGGGTGAGGGGCGAGTCTACTAGCAAACCACAAAACACTAGATATTCATATAGAACGTTTGCCGCCGCTTGTTCTGACAGGATTGAGGCTTAAGGGGGAACGACATCTTGTGAAAAGAGTAGACCCTCGATCTAACAAATAGAACACGAAACAAATAGCAAAACATATATATACATATAAAGGTAGTTATGAAATATTGGATAGGCAAATCAGGCCCTTCAAAGGAACGACAAGAATAGGCAAACAGTAAACGAATTGTTTTTGCGCGCTCGTTGCTTCCAACGATCAATAGTGTAGAACTATGCGTCTACTATATCAGAAAAGTGTAGCCCTATCGTCTCTGAGATGACCAAGTTTTTCCTAATGATTCAGAATATCTGCTGCTGCGAGCTTCATATTGTGGAACAGTACCAGACCTATAAAAGGATCGACGACAGCAGAAGTTCCAACCTTGTCTAAATTTTTAAGTACTTATGTAAATGAAGAATTTCATATTTACCGAAAGAAAGTTGAGTACCTCTCTTTCGCCTTGTGCATCGTAGACAAAAAAAAGACAAAACTTTTACCCCGTCACATGCTTTTCTTGCCTCTTTCTATAAGAATTATATTATATTATATAATTAACTATAAGAATTAGAGTTTTATTGCTCATATCTATTCGAATCCTTTACCGTAGCCCTAAAAATATTTAGGTCTCTGATGTTACCTGATATAACTCTGTATCGCCAAACCTTAAGGTTCAAAGTTCAGTGATTCACCACCGGACAACCTAAACTCACGCCGTTAGTAACGCTGCGGCTGCTGCCTATCGAAATACTGCTGAGACGACGGACAGCCAAATTAATTTAAAAATGCTAACGCTATTGACGCCTGTGTCGTAAACCTTGCGATTACCCAATACCACTTCATAGGAGACATGGATTAGTGTTTACCCTATACCGTTCTCCGGCGACCTCGAGCCTGCTGCATACAATATAATAAGTTGGGCATCTGTTGACGACATGCTGGCCGTCGTAGGTAAGCATTCTATGTTCGCGAAGCCAGTATAGCCGACTTCGGGTCAGAGTAAAAACAACTGCGGCAAAGCTAAAATAGAGAACACAGCTCTCTTTCCATCTTGTATACAAGATATATATCGTACCTCAATAATAGATGACAGAAAGATAACGTGCTACGTGTTGGAATCGGTAGAGGCAAAAGCTGATGTAATACGCAGACAGATGACGAAGACACAATGAAAACCCGTTTCAAGAGGTCACGCGCGGGTTCACGTGGATAAATTTCCCTTTCTCCCCATAAATAATATCTAAAAAATACCAGTAAAGAAATATATATAGCAAACCATATAGCAAGCTCACTAGTTGTATATAAGGGTCGGCAACCGATTGCTGTACCTCACTAATAGGTACGATATTTAGTATATAGATTACTGACGGATTAGGCGTAGAAAAAAAGGAAGATGATAATCACAGCAATGGCGTCGATCGTGTATTTACGAATCGTCAAAATGATGAAGAACTACGAAGATGTTCGGCGACTCTATGGATGTGTAGAACGTGAATGAATATATTGAGCACATAAGTATCATAAAAGTGAACCGAATCAATGGGATACCAATAGAATGGTGTGTATCCCATAAAGAAACCGATGAGTAAAGTAAGGATACATATTAGATTGAAAGCCAATGACCAAGATAAGATTCGCTTGACAAGATACCACACCGTGAGTCTCGAGAAGGTGTTAGCCGGTGCGATGCTATTAGAGATAAAAGAGTCATTGTATGTTGGAACAAGATGGATGAGCAAGAATAGCTCGCTCAGACTGAAGAACTTTGTGATTTTCTAGCCCAATATGCGAAAAATGTACAACCAATAAATTTAATTGTAACCATGTAAGAAGAAATGATGTCTTTATTCATAGAGTACATAGGCTGTAGAGATCACCGCAAATATATATACATCGAGTTGTCGATAAATAGTATTAATCGTTAACATTGAAGCAAACATTTTCACTAAACTAAATATACGCCATTTTCCTGATAATTACTATAATCCAGCCACTGTAGAACTGAAGTAATTTTTACGTGCTTCTATTAAAACTAAATTACTACCAGTAAAAAAATTCTGGTGAGTGACTGAAACGTATGATGATAGTCTGATTGTATAAGATCTCGGCCATACATCGGGTGCACTAGAACTTGCTATCCAAGTTTTCTCAATTTTTGCAAGATTTAGTTTAAGTTTCTGCGGATTTTCGCAGATGGAAACACGACCTAGTCATTTCTTTACATCAGTTCGTATGGCACTCAAACATCAAGCTTCTTTTGTCTCCGTCTATCTTTAAATGGTTTAAAACTGTTTGTTGATCGCTGTTTAGCGCCTTGGCGATATCATCGCTACTCGCCGGTCGGTCAGCTACTACGAAGAGCGCATTTTCCCATTGAAATTTCCGCAACGAAAGCGACAGAAGCCTCTTTGAGCCGTTTCTTCTGATAACGCATCTTCGCTATAAGCATAGGCCTGGGAAGCTTTTTATTATGATAAGACGGTATTGAAATATAGCGATTATTTTTTGTATAAATTATGTTTATTTTCAAGGCCTTCTAGCTTGAATCTGAACAAAGGCAGTCGAACAATTTTTCCACATCTATTCCTGCCAAATCAACGTTTATATGACGTCGACGTCGACCTGATACGACTTCATACTACCTGGAATATGTGATCTTAAAGCCACCTAATCAGAGAAAGGGTCCAGACTTTCCCGACGACTTAATATATATATTGGTCGAGAACGTGATTATACGGGATAAGCACAAAAGCATCCTTCCAGAAAGAATTCTGGGTTCAACTTCCAAGCTGCGGCTGTTTTTCATCAGACTCTGAAATATGTGCTTTTTGATTAATTTTGAGAGTAGCTTGTGCTTTCTCAGCTCCGAACCTGATGTGGATGTTATACAACACGATTCCTTTTGTCGCTAGAGATAACTATGGCCTATGATTTTTACGTTAGATAATGATTTCATTTAACGGTATATAAAATTAATCGTATTACGTTATTTAGCTCGTGTCCTTATACGCATGACCTAAAAAATGTCGGTTCAGGTAAGATACTCTTGGCGCGATCACTTTGAACATGCACTAAAATAGATCTAGCAACTAGTTTTCAAGTTGTGCTAACTTAGAAAATAATTGCACTCAATTATGCTGATTTCAGAAAAACGTGTTTGAAAAAGATCGCCTCCGTACACAATTTTCTTTCATCAAGATATATTGGGCCGCGGAAGAGTATATACGTCTATAAGTCGTGCACTGGCATCAATCTAGATTTTGACGGATTCATTAATAAGATACTTTGAAATGGCAAAGCTCCTATGAACACGGACTGTTTTGCGTATTTCCCGTAACGATATGCTGCTTTCAATGCTAGCAGTTTAAATTTCCGTTCTACCTGAACATGTACATAGTGAACTTGTATCGGTAAGAATGACAAAGATTATATAGATGTGCGACACTCACAGCTTGGCTTAACTGAACATAGTTTCGTCGTAGCTGCCGGTCATTCTTAGGATCTACGACGCGAGGTTTACACAACGAGTCTGATGACGAGGCAACGTGAAGAGTTAGCGTTTAAAAAGGACAGAAATCCTTGCAGACAGTGCCACCTCTGGCAATCCAGTCCATTAGACCGCCCTGATACACACGCGATCTTCACATGTGAAAAAAGATAAGAAACGTTTATTTAATTAACCAAGCTAGCCGTCATTTTTAGTACATACGAATAAGCTCATCGATTTTTTTTTATATTCGAAATAAACTAGGCAATGATTCCTGCTTGCCTTTTGTCGCAACCACCAGATAAACCACTAGGTAGTCTCAGTCGGGTTTTTGGAACACTTGACACAAAAGAATCAACTTCCCGTCGTGTTATTACTTAGAACCTCAATTCTAAGCGATCATATATAAGTATAATGGGTGTACTTACAGAAGTAATTCACGAAAATGATGATTTGAAAAATTAACTCTCTCTACTTCGATGTATACATTATTAATTTCTTCATAATTGGCCACTCACTAAAGTTTCTTCTTGTGCCCAAGGCGATCTTAATGCCTAAATCGGAAGCGTTTAGTTTAACAATAGTAAAGTAGCTTTTATTAGTTATACTGTCGTAGTATTTAGAGTGCATGCAACTCAAATAGACGGGCAAAGTTGTTGTTTTGTGCTGACTAGAACAAATAATGACGATATGAAATTGCAACAACGGGCACCTGTTGCCCCATCTCGCCAATCTGGCAATTTTGCGATGTGTGAAACCTTTGGAAGTTTCTTGCCACCATCGTTTATGCTCTTCCTAAAGTCTATTGGGCGATATTGGGTTTATGGCAACGAAGTCCTTTGGGGCAATCAACGACTGCGGCAGAGATAGAAGAATATAACGAGGTATGGTATTGTATTAAAAAGACTACTCGATTAGACGATATCATCCCGGGATGCGAATTCAGGGCAAGTACGATAGGTTAAGTTTGGGTGCGCTGCCACTTACTTCTTAAAGCCAAACTCGTCTGCTGCTAATGCAGCTTTGGTAGCTCGCGTTCCACCTTTGCAGTGGAAAATCACGTTGGAACCATCTTCGGCCACTGATCGACCCATTTTCTCCGATAAGGCGGTCGCGCCTACACCAAACCGAGCGCTTACCTCGTCGATGGGGACGTTCACGGTGCCTGCAGTGTTCATGAATATAGCGCATGCATACGTTGAGAAGAAGAAGCGAGGCACTCATGAGGATATTTGAAGTTGAAACAAAGCTGAGATAGGGATTGTACACTATACGTGTTGCTTATATGGTACTTACCATAGTAGCAATCAAGTATGCCAATTGAAAACACGTACATTATAAGCCTCTGAATCTTCAACACTTTCGCAATATTTTTTCTGATCGGCTAAATTTCTACTGACCTTGGTACAAGAAATGCCGCTGACATGCATAGCTGGACATAAGGCCTGTATGCATTGAAATACAACTAGTCTATCATGAAATTCATCAAAGTTGTTTCGAGACACAGGTGTCCGAAGGTCATCGAGTTGGTTTCTTGAATATCAGCCTTTGCCGTCCAGCTTCGCAGTAATGAGTGTACACCAAAATTCTCGGAAAGTTCTGCTCGTATCATTTTATTTATAGTTCCTTACTTACGTATACAATTGCCTAGCATTTCGATGATGTGACGAAGGGTTCATGATTTGACGCTTTCACCCAGCCATTCACTTTCAATATCAAATTCTATTGCAAACAGCTATGTTATCCCTGTGTTGTTTATCGTCGTTTCAAGTTAGTTAATCAAGGCAATACGTACCTTGAATACTGCCATCATCCTTCACTTCTTGAGGTGAACGGACATCAACAATCATAAAGTCATGATTACCAACGCATTTCAGGACCTCATCAAAATCCACACCTAGACACCATTAGATAAGTAAAAAGCACCCTATGTTATGTTTGTATCCTTCCTTTCTTGTGCTAATTGCTTGTTTCATATAGGTATATATATGAGGCAATATATGAGATACACGTTTTCAGTCGAGGTATTGAATCACTAGCTAGCTACGTCGACATGAGTAAGTGTTTTTCCTACACCCATATTTACACTACACGACAACTGTTCATTTCTTTCGTTGGATCTCTACTATGTCCGTTTTCAGGGCTGGTGCTTACTCGGGTAAGGCGCAGGTTTGCTCTATCGTCGTGGAAACTCAATGAAACTGATAAAATCTGTGGGTAGCGTGAATTCGCCTTAAATATACCTATTCTCCTTGCTCATACCATATATTACGAGACTTTATGCTGTATTATAACTGCAGGATACTAAAATCTTTTGAATAACAGTGCAGCACTGCCTAGGATTCTGACAACGATCTCATTTTCGTCTATAAGGGCTGGCACATGCAGCTGTTGCATACACATAGGATACCAGGCAGATACTGTGGACCCACCATAAGGTAGTAGTTGAAAAGCTAAATTAAAAAAATGATAAATACACTCAGAAATGAAATGGACTGCTTGCTGCTAGAGATCTGAAACGAATCAAGCTTCGTTTACGTTTAGTCGATCAGGTGTATCTAACAATGTTAATGGGCACTCAAGTTGTCATAGTGAAAATACGGGGGCAAAAACATGACTTAAGCTGACATTTTGCCTCTAACAGATGATACATAGAGCTAAAAAATATAGTTAGTTCACGGCCAGGGGCAGCGGCAGATAATGCTAAACTAGGATTTGGATTCAAGTAGACAACTGTAAAATGCGTTGGGCATAGATTATGATTCGATATAAAAGTGCAAATGGAAATATATATATATACATTTTTTTTTTGTGTTTTTTTTTTGACGCGACTAGTTCGAGATTAGTGCGGATCCGACTTAGCCACTCAGGCGCTTTTAGAGAATGATTTAATTTTTTACAGTAACTTGTAACTTAGTGTGGGAACTAGCGAAAATGCACAATATTCTCGATTTTGTCGCCCCCTAACTTGGTCATTTCATTATATGTCGATCGGTTTTTTCAGCTTATCAACAAATTTAACAATTTCCTTTTTATTTTGAAATGAAAAAGTTGCATCAATGTTGCAAAACGTATAAGCTTATTAAAGGGCTGAATAACGTTAGACTCACATCTACTGGGATCCACATCAGCCATAGTTTATGCAAATACTTTGTTACAACGGACCGACTATTTTCCACGGGCAGTGACACCCAACTGCTTCCTCGGCCACGCCTTTACTGCAGACGGCCCAGTATAACAACAATAACAATAACAACGACAAAAGCCAATTTTCTTTTTTCTCTCTCTTTTTACCCTAACAAATGTTTTTATCGATTTCTAATCGTCTTTTGGATACAATTAAAAAACGCAATAGTCCCGTCCTATATCGTGGGCGCGCAGGCCGTAATACTTGACCCTCGCTAATGGCTGCAGACGCCAAAATCGCTGTGGCCATTGTCGAAGCAGTAATAGTTGTTGTTATAATAGAACCTGCTGCCAAAACTCGAAGGACCAATGAGCCACCCACGCAAACCCAGACTGCGCACAAATCTGTCAGCTAATGAAGTGGCGTAGACGAGTCGTTGCAATTGCCGCAGAGGTAGAAGTATATTGTGGCAGTAACCTCTTGCCACGGTCAAATTTTGATCAGTTTGGGACGATCGCTTCCGGGATGATGGACCTGTGGTAATGATAGATCAAATTGCCTTCCCTTTGCAGGCCGGTTATTGATTTACTATCGAATATATACAGGTTAGACGCCTAGCCGATATTCGAAACCTATTTTCATGGTCACGTTGAAACGTCCGTAGGTACATACTATGGTTATCGTGCATAGATTCATATTATTTCTATTAAATTGTTCCAAAGAAGGATCGTTCTTTTCAACGAACGTAGCGGGGAAAGAAAGCTAGTACTTTGCTGGAAACATTCGCAAACGGAAACAGAGTTAGACCCACCTAGACAGAATTAGTTTTGGTTTAATAAGTTGTCAGCTGATGCAGCATAAATGGATCCGTCCAGCCGGATGATGCGTGCAATTTATACCTAGTAATTTGGAACGAGGTTTAAAGGTGGATAGCATGATTAACGAAAAATAGAAAATAAAATCTCATTTCGATACGCTTTGCTCGCTAATTGAGGATGACAATTATTTAAAAGTGTGTTGTTTTTTTTTTATCGATGATTATATTATAAAACAAATTATTGCAACCGACCTCTTTGCGAACCTAGCACCTAGCGTGTTGAAAACGGTTAAATGATAGATATAGCAGAAGACATTTTTTCGTTTGGGTGCAACGTTGCCTAGTTTTTCCGTTTTAGAAATAACTTCCAAACAAAAACAGTCACAGTATTAACGAATCTAAATGCTGTTTTTACGACGCATGAGAATGAGGTGACTACTTTCGGTCCGTTGCCGATTTTCCTTACAGACGCCAAATGCTTTTAAATAACCAACTCCCCACAGAGCTGAAACCATCGAGGTCGACCTTGAAAAATTTGCTCTTCATATAAAAATTCATTTTATATACCGCCATTTCATCTTCTGTCGATGCTTAAGAGACTTTTATGAACATTTTAGTAAAACGATTACAATTTCAAGATAGAGCAAGCATCGATAGACTACAGCAGATCATAACAAACCCAGTGATATTCGCCGCTTCTTCTACTGCCAATACCTTCGGGGACTGCTGTCCTGTACGGTGGACGTTCAACAGCTGGGAAGCGTCTACCGTTTGAAATGACAGATAGAATTATTATAGCACGCAGCGCCTAGCAAAGCCAGGCTGTCTTCCTGCCAGCGCAAGGCGACCGCAACTTTAACTTTCTTATTGGGTCTTCGTAGAATTTAATGAGCACCGTAGTTCACGCACTTAACTTAGATTCGAAGTTTGCCGATGGCAATTTAGAATTTTTACGACGTAAGAATTATTCGTTCACTACAGTGATCTATTTGTCTAAAGTTGCATATGTTTTTAATTTTGCATTAGTAAGTGCAAAACCTAATGTAGAAATGTTCCCATTTGTAAAAATTCTCAGACTCGCTAGAGTTGCTAGGACTGATAGGTCCGCTGCACAGTACGTCTAACCAAACGTAACATCGGACGATCTCAATCGGCCGCAAGCAGGTTAAATTCCTTTTTAAAGATCTTAAGCGATCCTGCGCTGCACAAGGCCTTGCATAATAATCGTTTTTAATAAAACCGAACCGTTATGACGAAAGAACCGTTTCCATACTGCATGTCGTGCTATGTAACAATCCCAGCCTCAGATGTAAGGATGCCACCCGGTCGCTTAGATCGGACCGCTGGATTGTAAGCTTAGATCTCTGTAGTGGGTTTGCTGAGAATACCTACCTGACATCGACTCTGAATTAGCAAATGGAAAATTTCATTATGAAAATACTCCTAGATTAAATATATTGGCATTTTTTTGTGAATTATGCGACCTAACCTAACCTAACCTAAAATCGGCTGGTAGCATAAATGCAACGTCTAATAAGGAAATTCGTACCTGTGAAAGGAGTCTGTACGTTTTTTTATTTCTAAACAGATCACAATGCTGCACTAAATTCTTGCAAAGGCCAAAATAACGATACAATTATGTTTTTCCAAAAGGAAGAGCAAAGGCAACGCGTTACTATAGAACACGTTATACCACGTTGCTCGAATTTGGAAAACTTTCATAGCTGCGTCCTCAGGAAAATAATAGTAAAGAAGGACTTCAACATCACCGAAATTCGGCAACGGAATCTCTTCGAAACACTGTCCACGACGTCTACTAAACATATGGAAAAACTGCCATCGAACGAAAACGAGCGAAACACGAAGCGAACTGCCGGCCATTGTAACGAGGAAGTTCGTGCTGTCGGTGTGCACCTCACTCTCATGGGTTTTTCGAAGATTTCTGCATAAAAAGAGACCTTTTGGACGGTTTTTTTTTTTAATATGCTTTGTTCATAAATAGGCTTAGGAGGCTACTCCAATGGGTGGCCAGAACTTAACGGCGTGTGAAGTCCTGAGAAGTGTCATGGCCAAGTGCGCACGGGCCAATACACAGGGCCCGATATCGCACGCACAGACTAGTATTAAAAAAAAAACAACCCATCCAACTGTTGAACACTCAATCTGACTGGGTGGTCAAATGAATTAAGTCACACTACACCAACCGTATATATTAGGATCTTGTTTTGAGCGTGTCACACATTCGAAGCTGCTGGCGCTACTTCCGCGCTTAGAGGTATAGAAAACTTTCTGGTCGGCTAGCTTGAAGCTATCGTAAGCAATAGCATTTTAGAGCTCATCATGGTCAGTACTCAAAGAGCGTTAAGTCTTCGAGATACGATACTGGGCCTTTGGATATTGTACACTAACTCTATCGCATCCACCGTCGCGTTCAATATCGGTAAAAATACATGTAGCTGTATCTATTAAGCAGTTTAGACTTTTATGGGTGGACTGAAAGAATTGTCCTGAAATTGTCCGTTGAAATGTGCGTCGTTTTACATTTCGGGCGTGGGAACGCAAAGCAAGGGTATAGGCGCCGTTAACACATTAATCAGAATGCAGAATTAAATATATAAGTGTCACTACGCTTACGTTTTTAACTACGTTTACGTTTTTAAAGTATTCGAAGTATACAGAAAACGGCGTGCTTTACGCCGACTAGGTTACGCCGAATTAGGTTCGACAGACGATTGCAGGGTCCTAGTCTATTTAAATTGTTTCATCTATGTATACTGAACTGATTATAATTATCACAGTATCGGTGTAGAACTTACGCCTAATCAAAGCAGCTTGTATAAAAGTACTGAATAGATTTGCAAGAAGAGTAACAGAGGTCTAGCTAAGATTCCACTTGTTCTGGTTCGTTTAACATTATTGATAAACTTAGCTTTGGCAAAATGAAGATAGCCGTATATGGTCGACAAGCTTTTTAATGAAGAACTAAAGGAAACGTTTAGGCAATATTGATAGTAACAGAATGATACGTGAATGATCTTCCACAAGGCTATGATGTGTATGTCAATAATCGGTGCTGGACGTTGTATCAAACTATCGATGAAACGTACATCTCTATCACCTGACGACCGCGTTAAGCTCCGCTTATTTTATTATTGTCGAAGCGAGATTCTGTTGGTTTCTTTAGAGTTTCACGATGGCTAGCTCACAATGGACCACGTTTACTCTGTGCATGAAATGCCCACTTCGGGATTAGATGTATGAAAAGAATCAAGCAATAAAAGCTCTGTGTCAGGGTAATTCGCATATTTGAAAATGATGCCTACAGACATTGTGCGTTTTTGACAAAAACATAGAATCTGTGAAGAAAGAAGCTTCAGTCTCGTGTCCACGTTCAGTATCGTTTGCGCAAACGATCGATTTCATCATTCCTACTGACAAAATTGTCTGTTCTTGTTCGCGATTGGCCTTGTTTGTCATCCAGCTTGCTAATTGTCGCCCATGTGAGTACACGTCGGCCAGTATCTGCCCTGTTATTTTCCGTCTGCTTGGAACTTTTCATAGTGGGTTTTGAGGCTGTTGTCACTTGCGGGAGTATCCACCAGGTGGCGTACAGTCCGACCAGGCCGACGATGGTTGACACCTGTTAAGGATTTTTTTTGTCATTTGTAGGTATAGTTTCGCGTCTGCAACCGTGGTCTATTTGTCTAGACAGAAGAAAAGAGCTTGTTCGTCCCTTCAAGCGAGTTTTCAAGCTTGAACAAACGAATAGATCGCTGAAAAGTTTACCATACGTCGTCCACGTTCAAATATCAATTTTAGGTTGCACGCCTAAACAAAAACCAACGACACTGAATGGGTTGTGAATTATTCTGTCATTTATGTATAACATTGCTATGAAGCAACCTACTATGACAAATGCAAGTAGCAACACTCTCGGGATGAACATCCGATCATAGCCGAGGTCTTCGTCATACCCACGAATCGACGAGCCTTTTCGGGTCTTACGAAGCGACACTAAGACGCTAGTGCTTGCTAGCGATAGCACGTAACAGGCCAAGCCAGGAACACTGAAAGTAGATAACACATGATTAACATCATTGCAACAGCTTCGTTGGGCGATCGCAGGTTATTTAGGTCAGTTATGCTAGACCAATTTTCCGCTCAAGCGTTTCGATGTTGTCTGTGCTTGGAATGATGGAAATACATGGACGAGCAGCCCTTTCATAAGATACTTCTACACCTATATTCGGTTGGCCAGATACTGACATTTCGTTCCAAATAATGTCCAATCCTATTAACAATCTGTGTCGGTGTTTCACGTTGATTTGAGAAGATTCGCGCCTTAAAGGCCTTAAAGGCTTGTAACAGGCAAATGATACCCAATGTATAATTTCTAATCGACGTACGGAAAGTAGATCAGAAATCGCGAACGAGTAGTACATACACATCTAGCGATTTATCTCGCTTAACTGACGAAACACAGGTGGGTAAAAAGGAATGGCCCGCTAACATATGGTAGACCTACGAAACTGGGATCGTATGCACCCATGAATGCAAATGAGTAAGGCTTCTTCATATAAATGGTTCTATGTCAACCATGCCTATAAAATAATTTACATACGCTGCGTATCTCTATTCAAACTTAGAGCTCAAAAAAATGAACGTACGTACTAATTTCCGCGCGACTTTACAAAAAAGAACGTAACGACAGTAGACACCGCCCATATGAAGGTGAGCAGAAATGTACCCGGACCAACACCGAACACCCGAGTCATTGCGCAATGTCCAGTGTATCATACTTCAGAAGCATCAGATGAAGGTATTCCTTAACATTCACGCCTGCAGTAGCGCAAGCACATACATGTGTGGTAAAGTTGGATTGAGTTATTATTAAAGAAAAAAGAAGAGGCGTGAGAAAAGGAACTCAAACTGTATGAATCTGCCACAAAATGAATCTGGTTGCGTATCATCCTGTTAATTTGATGCAAGTGTTATACATACGCGTGATAAATTACTTCACGATCCAAAGGCCGGGCTTTGGATTGCGAAGTAATTTATCTTCGAAATTTTCGAAACTGCGTTATCAGGACACAGCAATTACCGATCAAGAGACTTTCAGCGCATGCCTTATTTCCTTGCGGAAATCGATAACAGCAGACAAAGAAATGGCATATCAACTACTGACTGATACGTTTAGAATTCCAAGGCAGAATCACGCTCGTCTAACAAAAATATATTTTTACACATGACTTAATATAAAAGCTGTTCATTATGCTAAACGTCTTCTTTATAGCCACTTACGATGTCGGTTTTCGTTGGTGTGGACTGAAGCTTCACTTAAATATTTGTCACGTTGCTTAGTAATGATGACACGGTTTCGCCAACGATACTTCCTTTCCAATTTCCAAATTGTCTATCTGTGTCGTTCGCCTTTGCATGTATCAAGCGACTCGGGGACTCCTTCGGCGGGTAGATTTCTGGAACAGTACACCCACCACAAAAGATTCTCGATTGCCGCTGTTAAACATCCGTCATAATCGAGCGCAAGTGAGTTAAGCTTCGGGCTGCTGTAGGCGTCGGCCTCCTCCTCCTTGTTGTGGTAGCAACCGTAGCGAAGGGCCCCGACCCCGTTTTCATTGAGGTTTCATGAGATCAGCCGCTCGTGTTGATACTTTAGGTTCGAAGTAGTGATGGCGCCAGCAACGTCATGTCAATCAATAACTTATTATCTAAATTTAAACAAAATAAAGTGGTTACGGGGTATCATATAATTAAACCTTTAGGTAAGCTAATATGTAACCATGGTGCATTCTGAATGTTTTGTTCTTACCAGCAGGTCGTATCTGGGCTAAATTTCCTGCTACAATCAGATAGCTGGGGTTCGCTAACGCCATATACGCGCCATTAAGTAGCCATGCTAATCCACTGTAAGATTCTAATCATCAGCATTTAAGCTACGGCATGTTTCTCGATTACTTTACCATGATACGTAGTTCTATTCGTAGTACTTCTGAAACTGATGGTGACTACATAGAACATTGTCACGCTTTACATGGCATTCCTTGTAGCTAACAGAACTGGTCTGTCACAATCCTGCTACACTTCTCGGCATGGTAACATCGCAACGTTAAAAAAAGCATAGTGGGTAGCGTATTCTGCCTGCTGATTTTAGGGGCGCACTGTGGTCCGGGCTCGAATCCGATCACAGACGCATTTCGTTTCGTGCTGGGAGCCCGGCCGTCTGACGGGATGCCTGGTGGCGACCCCGGACGTAAAATGTAGAAGGTTATTTAAATAGGTTACTGCAAAACGTTAATTTCTGTGTCGGACCTTCCCCTTCAGGTCTCCTTCGGTTTTTGTTGTTACTGCTCAACGGAAACACTTGAACGGTAGTTACAACTCGCAGTCGCAGGATTTGCTTCAAATCGGATAAAAACTTCACGCACAGCGAGGCTGATAAGGACAAATGAAGTGAAAGTAAGATAAAGTTTGGAAAAACTCATTTCATCAACATTTTGAAAACAAACTTCAAAACTTACAATTACAGCCATACAGATTCTTCCTAATTGAGAAGGCAATGGATGCGGTTTTATTTTATGTACTAATACCTTTTATACTGTAGAAACACGCCCGCTTAATTCGTTTCAACGTGTGCAATATTTTTTCTATAATAGAAAAATGTTAAACGAATGAGTAGTGTTCACTGGTAATATAGACTTCGATTATCGATTTAGGGAAGCTTTCCCTATGCACAAGTCTTTGTTCGGTACTGTTTATGGCCAAGCTGCAGACGAACACGAATTAAATAACGATTAAGATGCTTCCCGCTTAGACGAAAGGCCAACCTAAGATTGATTCTTCTGAAAATAAAATAGTCTTCGAAGTTTTCACTTGAAAGGTGTTTTTTATTCTTTCTGCCCAACAGATTGCAGTTTTGGCTAATATGCTTTATGATACGGGTGGAACTTACCTGCGATTTCCTGAACCAGTAGGAAATGAACACCGCTGTGTACCTGTTGTGGTCCTATAGACTGTCCTGGTTGGTGACGTGCGACAGCGTACGTCGAGTCTGCCTGTAGAGTTTAATTTTGCTGCTGCTGTTTACCCGGGTCACAGCGGCTATGTTTAATCTGGTGTGCGTAACCCTATCGATACTTTCTGTAATATTATGGGTATCACAGCATTGTGTTGTACCGGAATCAATCTTCATATTTTTCTTCAACACAAATTACCGACTAAGCCCAGAAATCGGTCCTGTATTCTGCTTGCTTTTCGGCTTGTTCTGAACTAGTCCTGTTGTGCTACCTAGAATGTACGCAAGGGAAGTCTGTGTTGATGTTAGAGCTATAATCTTCATATATGGAGCTTATAAGCGAATCTGATTAAAACAGCACAGGTGTCGTTGATTGCCTCATTTAAAGGGAAAATTAGGACAAAAAGGTGCAACTTCCTCAAGTGCGTGTGAGGTAACTCCAACAAAAATACGACTCGTTGTTTTCCTGTGATAATACGTACCATATTGCTTTAAGCAAATCGCATTACTGAAATGGAGGGATATATTTTCCTTTTCTTTTCTTTCAAATCTAGCATGTTGGACTCATTCACGTTAAGATCACTATTCACTAGTTCTGAATCCCCGCCTCAAAGTCCACTCTGAATATGCCTACATCTGTACTCAACAGTAACACACAGCTTTATATGAGAAAGTGGCTGAAGCCATCGAATCGCCGTAATTTTTCATCCACACAATGCACGGGGGTACGGCTCTCCCGTGCGTTTTCTGGATCTCAAAAAGCGTGCCTCTCAACCGTAATTTTACGAACCATTTTTTTTTCGTTTAAGATCTCCTGAGCCAGAATCTCATCCGCCTGCTAACACCCTTATGCTCTGATGATAAGGGATGTAAATACCCTTCGATATTTTTCCGTCGATGAGTAGTATAGCCTCTAACCTTGTAGAAGCCAAAGATAGCCGGTGTTCTTTCACCAGTATCTAGATCTCTTTCAGAGTTCGGTTCTTCTTCGGAGTCTTTTTGCCATTCCGGCTTGAACTGTAACAGCACGTTATCTGCATAGGCAAGAAAAATTGTGTACCTCAGTACCCCGTCCTATGCCAGGATCCACACGAAGAAAGCCAGAGTAGACCCTTGTGGAACCCTTGCCGTATAGGAACGATAGTTTCTTCGTTAACTGCCAATTTGTCCCACAGATCGTCTCAGACTAGAGAGACTAGGCACTAAAGAGCTATCTCTTCCTTCAAATATCTGAATACCGTCCGCCATGGCAGGCAATTAAAAGCATCCTTTAACATTTAAGAGGATCGCAAAGGAAAAACTTTCTTGCTTTAGTCAAGCTTCCCTCAGCCCCCGTAAGGACTATATCGATTGCTGTCACCACCGACGTGTGCTAGAAACCATATTGATCCCACACGCCCTCTCCCCCTGACAGACTACCCCTTTCTACGGCAAAGTTTCCAAGTCTTTGCCCTATTACATCTTCGATGCCTTTCGTCAACGGCCCCACCAGCCATACAGGTCTGTAAGGATCGCTATCCTTAGGGATAAGCACGACCTTACTTTTTTCCATTGTGGTGAGAGGCTGCATGAAAGCTGCAGACAAGCACCTAAAAAAGTCCTTCTAACGAAGGTTGAGATCCCCTTCGGGCGCAGCATTTTATCTTTTTCGATTCGTTCTTTTGTTGAAAACTACTTCGTTAGGACAAGGTTATGGTAGTTGTATGCTAACTCGGCTAATTACTTACCCGTAAATAGATACGCTGTTTAGAAGTAATGCGAGATTCAATTCGGGGCAGGATAGCGAGGTCCATGATAGATGCGTAGAATCAGAAAAGCACTGAAGTTCAATCTGCATAACGCATTAGCCTTCAACAGAAAAACACTATTTTTCAGTTCTATTTTGTAACGCCTGGTGCCGGAAATAGAATCTCGTACATACGCATAACATTTCGTCCGTTTGTTTGATCCCACAATCACAAGAACGTATACATCTCTGTGTCATAGGAGAGGCTATGTATTCTCAAGTCTATACTTCAACTAGTAGAATATACGTCGTGAACGGGTTAGCGTCATTCAGAATCTTTCGTTTTAGCCAGGAGCCAATGACGGCCGTCTTCGTTCTTACCCTAGAACCTTCCTTAGCACTACGCGGTAACAAGAAGCTCTACAGCTCAAGCCCTACAGATGCCAATGGGACCCATTGTCGTAAGAGAGTCATAAATATTTATAAAAATGACCCCTGAGCTATATCATCGCAGTAGGATCCCGTAAAATGTATTACGCTGTAACTGCATTCAGATGACCAGCATTGCTCCTGTCCATCTGCAACGCTTACAAACATGTACCTAACTACATTTACCTTCTATTTTGCACTAGAGTCTTGTAAAGTGTAAGGTAAAAAACTTGCCCCTGAACACGTCTATTAGAAAAAAGCTCATGTATTTGTTAAACAAAAAGCTTCAAGTGACTTCTGTGCTCTAATTGTGTTACATTTATACTTAGATGGGCAACGTTCTTCTTTCACCCGGGTCACCAGGCAACTAGATAGTCGTATTGGGTTTTTCTCTCAATTTATGCTGACAGCAGAAGGTTTAAGTGCTGTTATAGGTTAGGTGCATTTCCAAATATTCTAGCTAATAATTGAGTTGACATGAGGATATTTTCTATGTTGTACTACTTGGACGCTAAAGTGTATGGCAATTTTTGTAGATCCTTTCCTAACTAGCGGATTTAATTAATAGGCAAATGTCAAGAAATATTAAGCCGGGGCCAAAATGTACGCTCATGAATATTTTTTTGAAGTTCGTTTGTATTAGGGAAAAAGTGAGTCGTAGCGCCACCTCTTCATCCAAATCCCTCGAACTTTGATCGATTGCTTTCGATGGCAAAGTGCACGTAATTTCTTCCACTTGATTTCAGATCTGTGATTTTGTACGATTATTTGCAAATAAAACTGTCGTAGGCAATATGATCAACTGTATTGCTCAAAAACTTCCGTTCCCGTACAAGAACGTTAAGTTCCTGCAAAACTTTATCTAGCCAATAGAACATCTTCTGTTTCTACTTGTTATGTATGTTTATAGATCTACAACCATTATATTTAACAGAGTTGGGTACATTGGCCGTGGAATCATGCTGTTATAGTGGCTAATAGAATAGACTGAAAAATTCATTTTGTATAGTTTAGCGTTATACACATCCCAGATTTGTAAGGCTCGTACTTGAAAATAGGCCATGCGCGTAAAGCATCAGCGGACTTTGAGCAGGGGCTATATCTAAGTGCTGGTCCAAAATATGATAGAAGCAATATGTAGGGTCTTTATATACAGATATCATTATAGATTTAACGTGACTCACCTGACGAATGGACCGATCCGGTCAAAGACACGTTTCAGCATGAATTATAACCATGTGAAACAGACTGTGGCATTGTTTTTCTTTTTTGCTTTTTTACGGCCATGGCCTATCTGGCCTCTATGATCTAAAGCAACTGTAGATAGTTATTTAGATGGTAGAATCTGGATTTATTATGAAGCATGATAGCAAGATCTCTTATGATCGGCACGATGTATTTTTTCGAGAATCGACTACATGGGTCAATGCTACGTCAATATGAGAACGTGGCCGTCGGCTAAGCGACCGGGGCAGAACGCATTTTTCCTGCTCACAACCTTTATATTGGGGGGGACATTGGTTTCTGACGAATCTAATACATATCGATTATATCGAAGTTCGTAAGCGACA